GCAGCCGATTTGACAATCAACTAGAAGCAGCAGCATTCAAGATAGATTGCAATACATATCCGAATGAGAAAAAGAAATTTTGTTTGCTATTCAGCTCGTCAAAACGCACAATTGAATGACTGAACAATATATATTTAATCTTCAAATAATGGCAAATACTAAAATAATTCTAATATGGTGCTGGTGGTTACTAGTACTTATTCAAAGTATCTGTTCAAGTTCAAAACAAGGTAAATCAACAAAAAAGTAGTTTATTTGTTTCTTTTTTTATATTGATTTTCTTTAGTTCAATTTATGTCTTTCTGTAATCAAACAATAAATATATCATCTCCTTTATCAATCATTTTCACACCAACTTCTTTATCTTATACAACATGTTGTAATATAACACTTGATAAATCATATATATCTAATAGTTCAGAACAAATAATAATTAATATTAATAATATGTCAGAAATAAGTTCATCATTTCAAATATTTAATAAACAAATGCAATCAATAGAATTATTTAATTATTTATTATTAAATCGTACATTTATTAAAACAGATATTATTGATGTACCTCTTATATTTAGTTTATGTCAATTTAATATGCAATCATTTGAAATTTTAATAACAAATATATCAAAAGGTAAATAAAATTGAATAAGTAATTTTAATTTTGATATGCAAAAAAAGAGAATTTTTTTTTCTCTTCATATAGGTCCATGCATACCAAATCAATATCGTTGTTTAGTAAGTAGTCAAGATCAATGGTGCATAGATGACATATTTCATTGTGATGGTTATCATTCATGTCCACAAGGAATAGATGAATTGGGATGTCCAAGTATGAAAAAAAAATGAATTAAAAAAAAAAATCTTTTGTCTTTGTATTTTTATCAATAGAATCAATGTCACGATTAACCTTACCAAAAATTAAACGAACTATTCGTGGTGGTATTGTAACAACCATAATTATATTTGGACTTTTATTAATTATTAGTTCCGTTAGTATAGCAGTTGGATTTGTTTATCTTCGACGAAAACGTCAAAGACGAAGACAATTTACGTATTCACTTGAATCAACTAGTGATGATTGGGAACCATCAGGTACTGGTTATCATTTATTTGATAATTGGACAAATAATCGACGTAGTACAGGAAATAATATGAATAATGTTATTATTGATTCGAATGAACATATGCCTATAACAACAACTGTAACGAATCGGTGATATTAGTAGTTTATTTTTCTGTATTGCGAATAGTTTTCTTCTTTCCTGTTTCGTTAAAATTCTTTTTCTTTTTCTTTTTTGCTCGTTTATTATTTATAAAAAAAATTATTCTCAACTGTGAATGAATTCACTATGTTTTATAAAACAGTGTGAATATATTCTTGTTTATAAATTAGAAGACTCAATTGTTAAAGAACCAATGACAAATTTGAATGAATTAAAATTCTCATTGTTCAATTCATCATTTTTTTTTTCTCTTGGTATACAATTCTTCTATTTATTCAAATCATGACTCAATAGTTATGGAAACAAAATGTTCGCTTTATGAATCATGTTTTTAAAATTATTTTCAAAAAAAAACAAAACTCAATGAATAATAATTACTCATAAAAAAAGTAACAATAAATAATATGAGAAAATAATGTCGAATAGATTCACTTCAATCGGAAAATAGTTCAATAGGTTCATTAGTCAATATTTTTAAATTATTGAGTACACTATTATCGCCATAGGCAATACTTCAGTACAAAAAAAAGCGTTGTTCAAGAGTATCTATTTATACATCTAAAGATTGATTTGTCATCTATAAAATATATTCGGTTTTATCAATAATTTGAGAATCTCTTCTGATAAAATGTTGAATTGACATTTATGAAAGATTATAGTATATTCTCGTCTGAATAAGAACCAGATGACAACTGAGACAAACTTTATTAGGCTGCAACACATACATACTAAGGATGAACAAAATGCTACAACTAGAAAACAGATGATTTTAAATGTCACATTTATTGATATAATCTATATATGTTAGACATAGAAATAACATGTTACTATAATCCATTGTTCATCTTTTCAATAGTCATGCATTCGAAATGCACATCTATTTAAAAGCAAAGTTGATGATAAATTTTGACATTTTATTTTAAAATAAAATTATTAATGTTTTTGTCATAGTTATTACTGTTTGGTTTAACGGAAAAAAAAACTCTTATAAGTATAACTATATGAACATCGTAAAATAACATACAAGATCAAAAAGAGTATTTGTACTGTTCTTAAATATCTCTTACGAATGGTTTTAAACAAATGAACTCTGCTCATCAAACTTACTATTATAATTATATACTTTCAATGAAGTTAATTAATAGAATTTTCTAAACTGAATGATAAATTACACTTTTGTTAAGAGACTCCATTAGAGGAACAATGCACCAAATGTAATGGAAGATCCTCTTAACTAATTGATTTCTCGAAAAATTGAAACTTTAATTAGGATATTTACCAAGGGATATCAAACTGATTTTCAATGATGGAAATCAGTTTTTATCTGTTCATCACAAATCTATAGAAATAGCAACTACTAGAAATATTGGCAATTATGGAAATTCAAAGAAAACCAATAAAAATCAATAAACATCAGGTGTTTACTTTTAATTTTATCACTGTTGGTCTTCTATAATTTAGAGTGGTTTCTAATGGTTTCCGATAATTTTTGATCGCTTACAGTCATGATTCATATACTTGAGACGTTATTGTGATTTCTAACATAGAAATAAGCTTGTTCTTCCTTTTTATTTACATTAAAATATGACTAGCTTTTAGGATTTCGAGCTGAAAATCTTGAAAGACTGTAACAAACATTATTTTTGCCTTTTTAGAAAAATCATTTGTTTAATCTGCAAAATCGCTTTACTTTTATGAAAAACATTTTTAATTATAAATTATGAAAATAAAATTGATCAAAATAGAAGACCTCCTTAACAACCTTTTATGCTTCGACATAATAGAATACTCAGGGTCTTCTATTACGAGAATGTAGTTTATCTAAGTCATTATGCTTTATTTTATCAGTGCGACATCTGATACTATAAGATAAATATAATATAATAACTACACTATTGAAAAACACATTAGTTGGTCTATGAATGATCCAATGAAAGGCATAAAGAAAATTTGAAATTTCCTAATAAAGTAAACAAAAGGAAAGTAATTAAGTTAATTGCGTATTTTAATTAGTTAAATCACATTTTGGGAAAAAATGATTGTCGTTCACTAAATTCTGAAGTTAGATCCTGAACACAAGCCAATATTTACTTCTTTATACTAACGTAAATTTAATGTAAAAATGCTCCAGATACTCAATGAATTTATTTAGTTAATGTTGTTTTTTTGTAATGCTAATGACTTTGTATAGAAGATTTCCCACTAATACATTCCATGAATCTTTCTGCATAATAAACATACATTAGCATTAACTTTCGTTTACAAAAACTACTAAAGAATATCTATTTTTTCTTTAATATTTTTGTTTAGATAGATGCATTTACACTATCTATTTCAATAGTTGATATTGTTTATTTTCATAAAACAATTTGATTTAAAGTATGTATTAGTGTTTGCATTTTACTAAAGATAAAATAATGAATATATTACATTTATATATTGATATATTATATCTTTGACATCCACTCAATACTTTATTTGATTATAGATTTATATTTAATTATAATGTCTATCATGAACTTATTAGAATAATACAACGTTTTTGAATTAAAAACAAAGTTTCTTTTTTATTTATAATACTACGAATTAGTATTTTTTTAAAATTCAGTTCAAATTTATAGTGAACATAAACAAGAAACTTGATAATATATATGTTACACGAGAAGCAGTGAATGTTATAAATACAATACCCTTTGTTAAAAAAAAAGTAAAATTGTCATACTTGATTAATCATAGTTTACATGTTGATTTGAAGCATCTATTTCAATGTGACATTTTATCTTTTTCAACTCAATCGAACGTATTGTATTTTGTAGACACATATGCACACACCTACGCATACACATGCAAAATTACCTTTGTCATTTATTTATTTATTTTTTTTTGTTTATTCTGAAGGACAAACGGCAGCTGACTATCTATTTTTTTAAAATATAAAAGTGTATTTAGAAGACAAATAAAAGATATTTGTTTATCATATATTCTTCCTATCACTCTTTTATTCAAGTATGTATTTTTATTATAAAAGAAAATCATATTTGATCCTTTCTTTCAAGGATATGATAAAGATACAATAAGTTGTTAGTTATGATTCTTGATTTGAAGTTATATATTTATCATACAAAAGACAAGCAGAATATAAAGACATTCTTTTCATTTTTTCACATTTTCTCTTTACAGTATATATTCTGATATAGAACTTTCTTTTTTTCTTCTCTCTCTCTCTCTCATGTTACCCATCTTACTATACATATACATTTATACGTTGAATATCATTGCTATAAAATGCGAAAGTAAGACTCACTGAGATATCGATAGCTATTGAATTATTTGTTGTCATTCGTTCGCTAAATATACATCTGTGCACATCAGAAAATGATTATTCTCGCATTTATGTAGTTGAATCGTACAATTGATTGTCATATCTCATATGTATGGTATCCGAGGCAAGCAAGAGCAAGCAAATAATAGCCGTAGAAAAGAATGTGTGAGGCCGATGAATAGAACGCTTTTTCAATCATCTGTAACTAATATACATAGAGTAGAAATAGAAATTTCAAGCATACATCTTCTTTCACAAGGTAAATTGGTCCATCGTATTTGAGTGGCCTCGTTATTTTTCTTTTTCTATAGTTCTTTACTTTTTGTCCGATAAATCATATAAGTGATCTTCGTTGTGTATATATATATATGCTGTCCATTTAAAGTATATCTATATTTAATGATCTTTATTATTTCAGATAATCTATCCATCGATTTATTACATAGACAACATTGATGGACGGGATATCATCGATCTCGGCAATCGATCAAAAGATGGCTGAAATGCGCATCAAAAACTTGGAATTACTTAAACGTCATCAGGTATGCACTTGAGTATAGACTAATTGTTTGTTTGAAACGTGTATGAAAGCAATCGATAAAAGGCCAAAAGAGTAAGAGAAAAGGAGAAGAGAGAATAGGAGAGCTTTAACGATTGATATGTGTTGGCTAAGAGGTTTGTTCTTTCTCTTTTATACTTAACATGCTCTCGAATGTCATTGTAATGAGAGAGAGAGAGAGAGAGAGAGAGAAGTTTCTTTTTGACAGTTTCGTTCCTCTTTCTCTTTGCCGTCTTCTTTCGCTTCTAACAGGGAATAAACGTGCGTGCAGAATAAGGGATATAAAGTTTCAATAGACGCCATTAAGGCAAGTTGTACATCAGTAACGATCGTGACTGCATGCCTAAAATAATGTTTTCTCTACTCTCTGTCTCTCTCCCTATCGCTTTTTTATAGTTACTCATTTATTCTGAAGTTGTATGTGGAATATTATATGTATGTTTTCATAGAAGTGTCAACCTAAGAAAAAGAATCGTAATGTAGTTCACCAATTTATTCACTTTTTTCTTTTATGTTTATTTGAATGTTTGTATTTATTGAAGGAAATCGAAGAAGATCGACAACTTGCTCAACAATCAGGTGCAATAACAGCAACAAATAAAATTGAATCTGGAGAAAATACGATACCGATGACAACACCTATGCGAGGTGTAAGTTGAAAAAACTGTCGCATTTATCTCGTTGTCTGATCATTATTTTTAGGGCAAAAAAAACCGTGGACGAAATGCAGCAACTCAACAAAATTCCCAAGTATTTTTCTTTTCTATTTTTCTTTTATTTTTCTTTCAAAAATATGATGTCATCTACAGAAAAATTCAAATGAACAAATGCGTCGAGCACCAACACGACGAAAATTTGAAAACGTAACTATGCCTAAATCATTTTAACTTCGTAAAAACTCTATATTTAATCAAAAGGATCGTACTGATATTCAACCTCAACGTGCTCAACGAGTTGATTACAATCGTTTAAAACGTGAACGAGCACAAGAACTAGTTAATCAACACCAACAACAAAATAATAATAATAATAATAATAGTTCAATCAGTCCTGAATTACTTGAATATGCATATCCATTTCATCATCGAACAGAAGATAATCGTGGTAAGATATACATACCTTTTTATTCGAAAAGTATACACAAAGTGACATACTTTTTTAATTATTCAATTTAAAAATATAAATTCAGTGAAAAGAATTTCTTCTTTTAAACATTGAGAATATTTACTTTGTTTATACAAAAGCCTTAAATTGTTATAAAATTAATTTTGTGTGCAGATGCCGACGAACCGGCTCACGCAAAAAAACTTGTCATTGTAAACAATCAAGGTAGGTAGCGAATTATTTGTTGCTCATTAAATGAGTTGCTGCTCTTTCCTGACCATCTTATATTTTTCTTCGTTTTTCTTTCTGCGCTTTGCATTGCATGATGCTATCGAAGATGCTTGTAAATCAGCTGATTAAATGCCTTGAAACTTAATATAAGGAATGCGTAGATGATATATATATATACATATACAGAGAGAGATACACATATATGATGTTAAATGGTAGATATACCTGGATGATCGATGTGCACGTTTTTGCCGTCTTTGTCGATGGACGAAAAGAAAAGAAGAAAGAGAGAAAGCGAAAGAAGAGAAAAAGCAAGAAACGGCAGTGCAATGTATATTGCATGTATATACATATTTTACGATCATCACCAGTAGTATACAATAGAATGGAGACACACCAATGCACACTCAGTTATAGACTATCGGTTTAATTAGAATCAACAGGCAACGCCCGACATGTAAGCAAATTGTCTTTTGACTAATGATTTTCTTTTTGTATTCTCAAGCTCTCTCTGGCCATTTTCGAAAAAAAAGAATCATTGTGTCGAAGGTTAATGGTTTACTCAATTGTAGTTAATCGGATAATTGCATGACTGATTTTTTTTTTTATTCTTTTTTTCCTATTTCTCGTTCGTTTGCATACATACTCACCGATTGCGTTTCTTTTTTTTTTCAGCCTATTTTTAGTTACAATATGAGACTGGATTTCTTTTTAATTTTTAGCTACTCGTATTGGCAGTGGACGTTTGAATCAACAACAACAACAACAACAACAAACTCAAGAGCAAGGACAACGTCGACGAGAAGGTAAAACTATTGTTTTCTCCATTATATGGAATCAAGAATTCTAGTTTGAGCGATATTTTTATAGAACGAATGCGTCGATCTGGAGTACATAGTAATGTTCATTCAGGAGATCCTTCCGAGTTTCATCTAGATATACCACAAATACCAATGTGGCAAAATGGTTCTCTACCACCTTCAATTCATGTACAACTTTTACCAACAAATATCAATGGACATCATGCAAGTATCGATCATTTTATTAATAATGGTGGAGATCAGCTAGATCGTAAGTTTTTGTTTTTATTTTTATATAAATCCAAGTATCTTTGTTTTAAAATTTTTTAAGAATCTGCTTATCCTCATAATTTTGTTTATTCATCACCAGTTCAATCAACAGCATTCAATGGAAATGGTACTGTTTATTTTGCTCATCCATCTTCACCTTTATCTACTGGTCCTCCATCTTCACAACAGTCACAACCACATTTTCATCAATATTATGCAACGCGTACATTTGAAAACTCCAATCGTCAACAATTTCATCATCCACCTCATTTCCAATCATCATCCATTTTTCAACCATCATTACCACTCCATGCTCCTCCTCCTCCTCCTCTTCCTCCTCTTCCAACACAGTTATCAGCTCCATCAACTTCAACCTCTCATATTCACCAAGAACAACAAGATCTATCGGTTGATTTACCACCACGATTTCGTCGTTTAAAAAATCCGGATCAAGACAATAAATATTCAAAACAAAGACCAATGTCTGGTGATTTCGAATGTTTATATAATTCATCTTTCACTTCTAATGATAATCGTTTTCAATCACGTCCACAATCATTTTATGATTTTTCATCTCAACAACAATCAAATACAAATTTGTTTCGTCCATCAAATAATAATAATAATAATAATAATAATAATAATAATAATAATAATAATAATCGTTATCAACGAAATAATAATAATAGTAGCCTACCACTTGCTGCATATATGAATACAAACGAATCATCATATCGAAATGAAAATAACAACAATAATAATTATTGGGGAACATCATATCAAAGACGACGATCAACAAAACAACGAATATATCATAATGATAAGCATCAATTTCCATTATCATCATATGACCCACGTCAATATGGTTTTAATAATAATTATGAACGACGAAATGATTTCATTAATCGATCGAATTCAAATCGACAAAATATAAACCATATTGAAATAAATGATTCAAATGATATTAATCTTATTGAAGAATGGTGGGAAGATGATAATCCAGAATTAATTGGAACAAACCAATTAATAGCTAATATTGATTCTCAACCAACAACAACAACAACAGTAGATGATAGTGGAAATAGTTCATTATCAACAAGTATACATTTAAAAGAATCAACATTAGATGATGAAGAAAATAATGCATCAATTCATGATGTTATTAGTCCACCATCAAATGTTTCAACAACAGATAGTAAGAAAATTTTTTTCAAAACGAATAATATTTGTTTGTCTAAAATAAATTTTTAAGGTAATATTATTGAATCACTTGATCAACTTCAACAACAATTGAAATTAGAAGAAGCTGTAGAAAAACAATTAGCATCAGAAACTGATCAGGTCGAAAATGAATTATTATTATTATCATCAAATAAAGAAGTATGTATTATTATTTTTACTTGATGTTGTGTTGTTTAATAAGAAAAATAATTAATATTATCTATCAGCCGACGACATATGAAACAGCTCATTTTTTGGAATGGGCAAAAGAAAAATTTAGAGAGGAATTAGCAGTTCGACTTACAGCTCAGGTATGATAAAATGAGCATGACAAAAAAATGCATTGAAAAAAAAAAGATTATCAACTTTACGATTACGCTCTTTTTCGCATGCTGATTCAAATTGCATGGCTTTCTAAAAAACAATCAATGTCCTGTGAAAAATAAAATCTAATTTTGTATTTTTATTTTCAGGAAATTGAACAACATGATGCTGTAGCAATTGATGAAGATGATGATGACGATGATAATATTGTTGTAACTACGAATTTTAATATAGGAAAATATCATATCGATCACACAACTGATGAAGATATTGACAATGCTATTGATAATATAGAAGAACTTGAAGACGACCTTCACCAAAAATTATTAATTGAAGAAAATGCAAAGAAATCAGTCGTTGTTGAATGAGATACAAAGAAGAAAGATCTGTGCTATTCATTTTAATTTTTTTTTCTTGTATACAAACGTATATATAGAGAAACAAGCTTTATTGTGTATTGTTTTTATGTTTTTCCTTTTTTTCTTTTTGTAAACATGATGATCATTGTTCTAACAGGTATATTCATGTCAAATATTGCATATTTATTATGATTTTTAGCAACAAACCGTAAAGTCTATCATTTGCCAGAAGGAAATATAGATTCAATTTTGTTTCTATAGATATGAAATATGCCTCTCACTTTGAATGATATTGATTTACCACCGTCTGTTGAAGGAAAACTTTATCGAGGTTGATTATTTGATATATAAGTTATTTGCTATGCACATATATATATATATATAAATCATATGTTTAGCTTTTGGTGCTAAGTGTCCTTTACAACGTTTCCTGGAATTGGATCCAGATGAATTAAATCGTACAGCTCGAATGACAAAACCAGAAATTGATATTGCATTAAAATGTGTGTCGAACACATTTTATTCTTTTACAAGACGACAAATGTCGGGTCTGTTTCACATTTAACTAAGACTTATTTTGTTAGAATATGAATTTATTTTTAATCTAGTTTGGCAAATGACCGAAAATGAACGTGATTTGATAACAACATTTTCAACAGGTTGTCCAATCATTGATAAAACACTCAATGGTGGAATTCGTCTTGGTCAGATAACTGAATTGTACGGTGAAAGTGGATGTGGAAAAACTCAATTATGTATTCAAATGTCGCTTGAAGTTCAACGAACATTTCGAGCTCGAGGACAAGAAGCCAGTGAGTTTTAACATATTTTATTTCTCTATTTATATTAATTTCTTCTCATAGAGGTAGTCTATATCAATACGGAATCTCAAATTGAAAAAATTGATAAACGATTGAGACATATTTCTTATTATCGTGCAAAAACTGATAAACCATTTAATATAGCCGATGCTCGATGTTTACAACAAAAATTTTTTGATAATATTTATATTGATATTATTCGACATTATGTTTGTATATTTTTATTATTTCGAAATACTTAAAATGACATTTTTGTATTAGCGTCATTTAGAAATAACACTTATTGATCGACTACCTCTTTTACTTAGTCGAGAACCAAATATTCGATTAATTATTATTGATTCATTAGCTGCACTCTTTCGTTCTGAAGATATTTTATTTGACCATCATACAAAAGCAACGACTTTGCAATATTTTGGTTTTGCTATGCATACACTTTGTCATCGATATAATCTTGCCATTGTCTGTGTCAATCAAGTATATATAAATATATATATATAATTATTTATTGTTCTTTTTATTGTTAATGATATTGCTTGTTTTTAGGTGCAAACGCAATTTAGCCAACAATCTGATTGTTTTTCATTACCTGAATTGATGACATTAGGTCCAGCATTAGGTCTTACTTGGGCATTTCTTGTTCATTGTCGTATACAATTGAGTAAAACTGAAAATATTGAAGAACATCATCCAGATTCTCAACAATCACAAATTGTCTTTGATGAACGAAAAGCAACAACAAGTATTAAAACAAACGTGGTCCATTTACGTTCATTATCAGTTGATTATTGCTATTATATACCAAGAACGAATCGATGTAATTATTTTATTGTGGATAAAGGTGTATTCGGTAGTCATAATTGATGTTAATCAGATGATTATTATTCTTCTTTTTTGTTCTTTTTTTTTGCAAAATTAGATAAATTTCAGATACAGATCTATAAAAGAGAAATCTATTCTTAAGCACATTAGTCTTTGAGTAATTTTGCATATAGAAAGATCAAGAAACGGACTCGATAACAAGAGTGGATATTTCTATGTGTGTGGATGCTAGTAGAAGTCTGAAATCGGATATATATGTCCGAGTAGAGTAGAATTGTCGTAAACCTTGCGAAATCTTTTACATAGTTCCATATAATAATATAGATCTAAAAATGTTGAGTATTTGGTCTTTAATAACATTAAAGCTTCAATAGTAATCACAACTTCCTAGAGCGACAATGGTTCTAGAATTCTAATTTCTGGTTCGTTTCACAGAGCTTTGAACAATTTTCGGTATAGAGAGCCTATGAGTTCTCATAGAGCTCTAAATCCACGAATCTGTCTTTTCCACTTGATATACATGTACAATAATATCATATAATACCGCTGTGATACTAAAATTATAAGAGAAGGAAAGAAAATTGTCAAAGTTATAATCTGCCTAAAAGCTTAACTCGTATAAATACGAGTTCCGTAATCAAATGGGTTAACTCATCAAGGGCTTCTTTAGTCATCATTAATGGTATTGATCTTGTTGTCCTCAAAAACACAAGTATGTCGATGAAAACAATAGTTAACACGATCATAAAGAAATTTCCATGAACATACATTATTTTTCTCGGATTCAAATATTTCTTTATCAATTTAGGTGTATGAAAATAGTAAAGTATTCGCATAGAAATCAGAGCAAAGTTAAAGTCTTCGATTTAAATCTATACATAATGCATAATGAATGGATGAAGGACATTGCAAATAACTAACAAATATATTCTTATGTTCTCCTTTCGAATCTAAATAGAAGATTAAGCAAAGACAAAATGATTGACTTCATGGTTTGTCTGACTTTGATGGTTTGCGTGACTTGACAATCATTTTCATGATCACAATCAATTGCAGAATCATCGAATTCGATTATACTATTGTTCAAATATAATTGTGAAACTTGACATTCAGCGACGTGTTGAACAGCGAAAATATTCAAAATTATAAAAATGTCAGTTAACAAAAGGATTAAAAGCAATGACAAGAATAATCCAAAGAACAATATTTTACGAAAAAATTTACAAGTCGATTGTAAATATTTATTTTGACAAATTAGTTATTACGATTGATCTATAGACTTTTTGCTTTCAACAATAAAATAGTCTTTGAAGGCAAAAAAAGATTGTCTTACATTGTTTTAATCAAAAGATAAGATATGAATTCTGAACATTTTACTTTCATCACAGGATACCAATTGTTAAATTTAAAGAATGTAACAGATATAAAGCTCATTATTACTTTTTCTTATTAGAATTTGCGAATCGATGAATTTTTTTTTGATAACTAATAAAAATCATTACTCATGAAAGTTTATTTATGTTTTGAAATAATTAGTTAATATAATGATGATTACACATTACTGACATCTATCATTATACATTAATATATGGCACTATAGGATAGTCCAATAAAAAGTTAAAGAAACATAAAGACGATGCCAATACGGATGATCGGTCAAAATCAAAAATATCGTTCAAGTGTTTTCGATCCAAAAACAATTACTGCTTTATTTGGTTTGTAAAAATTTGTTTTATCTAACACAATATAAGCTGCATGTTTTTTATTTTCGAGTGGTTCAAATATAGTTAATAATGATTTCCATTCCATATCTTTATTAATAATCGAAAATTTAATTCGATCTAATACATAAAAAAGTATCATATAACCATAAGATGAAAATTCCCATAATAACATAAGTGCTTGAGTACAATCAATTATTTCACATATGTTTAAAAGTTCAAGTAAAACAAGAATTTTTAATCGAACATTATTAAAATATTTTAATATTTGAATAACTAATTTTATTGGTATTTGTGAATGTAAATTAATTTCATTAAGACGACATATAATAAAAGCAGCAAGACGAGATTCTTCATTTGAATTATCTTTAAATTCGTCTAAAAGTTCAAAAAGTAATGAAAGAAAATAAGATGTATCCCATAATTCATTTCCTGAATGTTGTTCACATCCAAAATAAATTACATGAGACATAGATTGAGACGATGAATGATGAGATAATGTCAATATGTCTTTATTATCATTTATACTTGATAATGATATAGATAAACTTGATTGTCGTTTAGTTTTTACTTTCTTTCTAAGAAAACAAATAGTACCGATTCAGATTTTTAATGAATATTTTAGTATGAATGCATCATACTCTTGAGACTTTGATTGTTGTTCTTCCGTTGATAAGCGTACAGATTCAGTATTTTCTTTTTGCTCATCATTTTCATTATCCATTAAATTATAGATAATGATAATGGCGCTTTTGTTTTATTCTAGATGTAATAGACGACTAAAAAAAATATTAACTAATCATGGGCATTAGCAAGGAAGAGTTAAACGCATTGCTGAAAGGTTAATATTAAAATAATTAAAGATTCTTATTTCATTTTTTTTAATTTATATAATAGAATGTCAATTGAATAAACATAATAACCCTTCTTATATTCTCTCAAAGCTACATGTTGTTATCGATGATCTTATTGTGTATGTATCATACATTTGAAAGAATAAAATTATAAATTTCATTCATGTTTAGGCATGTTGAGCGATTACACGAAGTTCGAAAAGTATTTGGTGGTCTTCTCAAAGATGGTAAATAACTTAAACAAAATTAATTTCTAACTTACGAGGGAACCGTTTCAAGTGATTCACGCCAATTTTGCTTATATTTTGCCCATATGTAGGGGTCAGTATGCTAAGAAAAAGTCTAAGAGGATTTAGGCCCATGTTGCTTCTTTCGAGGGTTATGGCCATTTTACTGATTTTTCGGCCTATCACAAGGTATTTACAAAAAATTCAAATGACGAAATTATGTCTTGAAATTTTGCCCATANTTCGTGTAGCATTAGTATAACGTATGAATATCACTTGATGTGCAATATAAATGCTAAAAAAATTTGATTGCTTCAAATAAAATTCTTTTATTAATATTCACATAATACAAAATGAGTGTGACCGCGTTAAATCTTTGAAAAAACAAGATTTAAAGATTTAAATTTAAAGCTATTAAAATTAGTTATAGACCAACCGGATAAAATGAGTTTTTTATGTGAAATTATTGCATTAAAACATATCGACGACTTCAAACGTGAAATAACTCGTTACAATCTACTGCGGAAACGGGTTGTATCGGTGAAACGCCTTTTAACGGTAAAATATCGGTAAAACGGCGTTATTACGGAATCTTAACTGGTTTTAACGCGTTTTTTTAATGTCACCTACTGTCTGAGTTATCGCTACGATATAATAGTTTCACAATGAATCTTGAGAATTATTTCATGTTTTAATATTATCATAATTAATCAATGTATTTGAAAAAGAATTTGCTTTAAAATAGCAAAATAAATATTAATAAAAACGAACGCAACCCAGTCAGCCAAAAATACAAAAAAAAATCGTTTTTATACGTTGAAATGTGCGCTTTCAACGTTTTATGAAGCGTTTCCAAGCGAAAAAAACGTTAAAATAATGCGTATAAACGGCTGCATTATACACAATGTCTATAACTTAGATGTTCGAAATATACTAATAATAATCCAGTATTTCGTAATATAATTCGGGATATTCATGACTAACATAATGAAATAGTCAGTGGTGATTGAAGTAAACCGATCACTATACTTATTGAAGCATGTGTATGTACAAAAATTGAACCAACACAGAAATATAGTAGTTTATGGTTGTTCATGCAAATCATACGCAATTAACATTTATTCAATGTAAAATACTGTAAATGCCTACATTCATTACTGTGTTTTTTTAATTTTATTAAGAAATAAGAACAAGTTCGAAGATATATTATCATAACTTACCATCATTCTCATACTTCTTCTACTATCTTTCGGACCCATACAAAATTGTCATTGATAGTTGTTAATCTTATTTCTGCACGTATTTTTATTTACAGATAACGCATTTTTTTGTTATCTATTATAAGCCCAAAGGTATTAGCTTATTCTTTTATAAGAAAATATTCTATCCTTAATCAAAATAACTACAGTAACGAATCAGATATATATATTGTGGTACACTTATGAGAGATTTTGTAAACAGTCAACACGATGAAGCCATGATAAGTGACATTAGCTGTATTGCAAGACGACATGATATTGTAATAAATTTCAATATTCAGAAACAAAAACTCTGCATAGAACAAATCTTTTGAAGTAATAATAGCATTATTTTTCTGGTATATCGATATCCATAATTATTGTAACAGTTTTTTTTGAATATCATTGATCTAGGTTTCTAATCACGATGAACTTCACTGAAACAAGTAGATAAAGCTTCGTTTTGTTAGTTAGAATGTTACCACGAAAACTTAATTAAACAGTGACATGTTGAAGACTCATTGTTAGATTGAGATGAGGATAATGAAAGATATAAGACATTTGAACCCTCAATGATGTTGATCATGAAGAGCAATTTATACTGATTATCACATTCATATTTCATATAATAATTGTAACATCATGATTAACACAATGACGTACAGCAATATTATTCGAAAGAGAAAAAATTTCATCAACAAAACAAAAGAGTTTCTAATTAGGCATGTAGAGAAAATGAAAAGTTAATAACAAAGTTGAGTTCTTGGAAAAAAGTTTCGTCTTTACTAGAAACTGTTTAGTTGATATTCATGTCTGCTTTCCAATATTTCATTATAACAAAATTTTTAATTCGAAATTCTTGCATCTATTGACTTAATATCAATAATCAAAAGACAAAAGTTATTCATTAAATCGATTAACAAGAAAATGTAATCATTTAAGGAATATGTTTTTGATTGTTTTTCTTAATCGCATTTCTTATTCATTTTTGTCTAAACTTTATATTAAAAAACATCTTCTATGTATAGTGCAAATATTATATTTCGTCTAGCATCTTATATCTCTCTATCATTATTTATCTTTTACTTTTTTTTAAAATAAAGACAATTAATGTCCCCGATTTGTATACAATTTCTTTAAAATAGCAACAAAGATAAATATTTTAAAACAGATATAAATTGAAAACGATTACGTAAAAAGTTTTATCATAATACTAATCATTAAAACAAGTATTGTAATGATTAAAACGACTAGTATTGTATTTCCAGTACCAAACTGTTGCTCAATCATTCTAACAAAATTTTGATATAGGCTTCTTTGATTTGTAGATGTTTCTTGATAACTATCTTTATTTATATTTGTATTAAATTGCTTTAATCTTTCATCATTTGTTATTCCAGGTGGAAATTCTTCAGCAGCTTCTAAATCTTCTTCCATAACTGATGTTATTTTAAAGTTTTCTTGTAATGAATCAATTATGGTTGATAATGGTTCATGAATAAGTTGATAAGCAGAAATAAACACAGGTTGATTAATGTAAATACGACGAGGCAAAATTAATTTATTTATTACAATATTTTCATTATTATTGGATTCATTATTAATAAGAGCTAAATTTCAACGAATAAGAATTGAACGAAAAAGATCTTCAATAAAATATTGTCGTATATCATTTCCTGTTGTTTCAGAACTGCATGTAAAAAATCGAAGACTAGCACTACCATCAAATTTATAACAAATACGATTTTCATTTGAATATTCATTTGATACTATTGAATCAATTGATGATAACCATTGAATATCAACAGAATTTTGACTTGTTTTTGATGATAATTTTAAATTATCCAATGGTAATAAACGATCATCCATTAATAAAAGACTTTCCTAAATAATTTCAAAATGAAATAATAATTTATTTTTAATATATTCAATGAATTATAAAATAAGTCATCGGAGTGTATTCTTATCAAACGAATGATAAAAGAAAGAGCTCACTACTGACAAATTCTATCAAGAGTTATAATGATTTTTCTTGAAATTTTTTCTTATGGCACAATATGTACTAAGAAATTAAGTGACGATATTTAGCCTATAAATAAATCTACTGATGAATAAGATATTTTGAAAATTTCTGCTTGATAAAAAGTTTTCTTTATAAAATATTGAATTATCAAAAATCTGAGATTTTCACATCATTCGTAGTATATGAGTCATTTTTGAAAATTCAATATGTTTTCAAAACATCTTAGCCACAAATAAGTATGTCTATGAGCAAAACATCTCTTTTTAAGTTTTTACTAAATGTAGTAGCTTAGCTTGAGTGACTCTAACTGTGACAGTAATCCTTTTTTTTAACATTTCATATCTAAATGAATTTTACCTTATGCATAGTGTCTAGAATTAGAATTAATTTTCTCATGGAATATAAAAAGATATACATTTTAATAAAGATTTTGTCTTAATATCATACAAAAAAAAAAAAACTGAAAATTATTTTGTAATTCATTTTATATGTTGAACTCAATTTACTTTAAGACTATCTGTATATTGTTTCCATTGTTGTTCAAATTGCTTTTCTATTAATTTAATATTATTATCATCATTATTTGTTAATGAATTAAGCCATAAATTAAATTGTATTGGAATCGTTGTTGTCATACACCAAGTAGAATTTCCTTTACTATCATAAGTTTTCATGTCAACAGGTCGAAAATGAACACTATCAGAACTCATATCCATTGTTTTAACTAACCATTTATTTGCTCCACTACCTAACTCTGATTGTAATAATATTCTATGTGATGATTGTTCTAAACTCCATGATGAATATAGACGTAATGCACTTTGAAGAATTTCAAATAAACGTCTCATTTTTAATGTAAAATTAGTTGATTTTAATAAATCATTTTTTGCACGACAATAAAAACCAATAATCGATACACCAGCACATAATGATGATGTTATTTCAATAATTTTTGCCCATAATTCTTTATTTGTTGATGATGAATCAAAAAATGAATTAATATCAGTTGATTTTGATGTAAGACCATCAATAGTATAATGAATATAATCACGTTCGGATTTAGTACATTGACCGCAAATAAAACCAAAACAAAATCGATTTGTTGGAAGAGAATTTAATTGAGATGTTACTACATCTGTTTCAATAAATACAGTTCGACCCATGATCAATTAAAACAAAATAAAAAAAAATAAACGATCTAAAATATTTGAAAGAATTTTTTTCTTTATTTATACACACATATATATACACATATATTTCTATATAAATCTGACAATAATTAAGAAAAAAATGAAGAAAGACTTTCATTATTTGTTTCTTGTTGTAAATTAGTATTATCATCTGATTGAAAAAGATCATCATCATCATCATCGTCATCATCATCATCATTTATATTCATTGCATTTGTTGGATTTCTTAAAGTTTGATGAGTTAAATCTTGTTCAGTTTCCGATAATATATGTCTTGTTTTTGGTGGCATATTTAAATCAAATTTACACATTTGAATATGTTTTTTAAGTAATTCACTTTTAGATTTAAGTTCATTATCAAGTCTTTCAAATTCTGAACGTTGATCATCAACTGTTGTATCAATACCTTCAACTCGTGATATCATATCATGACATGCTTCAAATTGCTTTCGAAGATCATCTAATTTTACTTTTAAATCACTTGGATTTTTTTCAAAACTTGAATAAAAAGAAGAAAAAAAATTTATATTTTTTTCATATTATTCAATATTTATACCTTTTAAGAATATCACTTAGACGAGGTAAAAAAAGAAATAAATCTTCATCAAAAGTTATTGAAGGTTTTGCTGTTGTACTCAAAGATGTTGTAGTTGGAGCATCAGCTGAATAATTAATTGGTTGTTGTTGTTGTTGTTGTGTTTGATTTGTAGAGGAAGCCATCTAGATTTTTAATAGAACAAACAAATTAACTTAATAATTTATTTTATGTAACAACAAGACAATAATGAAATGTTTATTATTTCTTTATATGTTAAAACAAGAATAATAAAAATGAAAAACAACTAATATATGAAATGTTTTTAAAAACGTTCTTGTAAATTTTGATGTTGTATTGTCTTTGTTGAATGAATTTATTTGCTACGTTCACGCATACGACGACGTTTACGTTTCAAACGACGCATTCGTTTCTTACGCCACTATATATGAAATAAATACTTTTTGAAAATTTCAATAATACAAAAAAATTATTTTACCTTAGCTCGCATGTCCTAAACCAACGACCAAGAAATTATAGAGACAGGCCTCAATGAAAATAGTTTATTGGAAAAGTTTCAAATCTTTTGATTACTCCTAGTCTAAAATAAGAACTTCAAAATCTGCTGGCGCATCAGTGACGTAGCCAGACATTTTTTTAGGGGGGATCGTCATGTAGAAAAACTGTTTTCCAGCTGGAAAAAATTCGATCGACCCGTACCCCCCTTCAGGTGTTTTTATTATTCAGGGGGGGGGACTGATCCCCCCATTCCCCCCTCTGAATACGTCGCTGTGGCGCATATGAATGATTTTACCAATGTTGTATCTTAGAATAAGAACAAAGAAAAGATCTGAAACTTTCTCAGTAAACTATTCTCACCAAGGCCTAATAATAATAATAATAAATGCGAAAACCTCGGATTTAAATCCGAGTGTTATGTGTACTTCAAAAAGTGAAAAGGTATATTCACTGTGTTTTTTATCACTAAATTGCAAGGAGAAAATACAGGCGTGCTAAGTTAGCATGGACCATACTGTATGCGACCCTATCCGGTGACCACTGACTCTACTCTCAGAGTGATATAATATCTTTAGAAATCACAGGAATTGAGTTCAGATNTTTTGAAAAGATATTTTTTTTTGGCATTGATTCTATGTTTTCATATTGATGGATTGTTAAACTAATGAAGTTTGTAATATATTTTATTCTATTGAATGCCCATTATTTTGATGCTATTTGATCAGCTATGGTATTCTTACGTTTCCAGTTTTTCGACCAAATCAACGATCATCCAGCTTTAAAACTAATATAACATTCGCTCTTGCTTTATAACTCATTTTAAACGATTATCTTTTATGACTAAGTCAATCAGTTTATTGCACAGGTTTAGGATTCTAGAATATTTCTTGTCGAATTTCTACTCTGTTGAAATTTAGTTGACAGACAAGGCTATACTTACACAGCCAATGTTACGAAACACTATTTATTTATTTGAAAATGCATTTGTATATAGAAAATATCGAAATTAATACATTAATCATTAATGAAACTAGACGCTTTTGATGACATACAAGCGGAAAATGTCTTTTGATCAGGAAGTTTATTGATGCGAAGTGAACGACCAGAGAGCTATTGTTCATGATTAATAATAGATGGTACGTTTGGAGCAGTTAATTCTTCGAGGACCGACTTTTTTTTTCAATAAAAGTAACTAAGTTGTAGCGTCGGAATCGATTATAATCTGAAAAGTACTACCTATCATAATTATAATACTTGCTCTGACTTCAACGATACAAATAGAGAACTTTGACATAGAAAAAGAAACAAAATGCTCGAACAATCTACTCTAAGAAAGCTCAAAGACTTTCAATTTCTATTGAAATTTTCAAACCGTATATATACGATCTTGGTCTACAAAGGGTTAGTCCTTTGATGGCGAACTTATTTTTACAACAAATATCGTAAAAATCTATTGTTAATATGGTATACTTTGAAAATTATTGGCGATCATAATTCGTGCACTTAAACTTGATTTAGAGATACAATGCTGTTTCTAGTGACATCTATGTCCGAATATCACAAATATTGGAAAGGTGTATTTTACTATATTTTGGCTTCGCTCGATATCTAAATTTTGAAAAAGTAAATTTACGAACTTCAACATCAGATGGTTGATGCGCTTATGTCAAAAGCTAGTTGATCCTGAAGACAAAATCCATCAGTAATAATATCAAATGACGAAAATGAATACATTCACTCAGAACAATTAGGGTGTGGGTATGGGTGTGAGTGAAGAGACTATCAACAACCATACACACATCCTTTTCATAGTCTTCTCTCTTTTTGTTTTATCTGTTGAAGGAATTCATTAGTCAATAAAATATTAAATATCAACAAGTTCGGAAAATGAAAGATAGAAATTTCTAAAAACACTCTCATATTAGTTAGTTGATATATCATCAATTAATCACTGGTTCCAAAGACACTTTTTAGAAACCGAAATCGGAACAGAATTTTATCGTTTTTACGAATGTAAACTACATGACTCTACCTTGGATTAGATATTTTAATATATAGGTATCAAATTAAAGAGAAAACTTAATAACTATCATTTGAAAATCGAAAAAATCGAGGACGTCGAAAAATTAGTTCACACAGCGTTATTACTATGATTTTTGCTTAACATAGTTTTTCTGTTTCTACTATTGACTGTGTTTTGTATAAATTTTTTTTTCTCGTTCCAGGATGAAGAATTCTCGAGTGGTGGACCTTGTCGAATCTTATAGCTAACCCCAGATAATCCGATAATTTCCGAGAAAGTCCTGTTAGAAGTTCTCGGATGTCGGATCCGATAGGTGGAAAGTGTCGGACGAACCAAGGATGCGGTAGGATTCTGTTGATTTTTCGTAATGATACTGCCTAAAAAGCAAATGAGGATTAACGTAAACCTCCGTATACGACGCCATAAACTATCCAATAGAGTCTCGTCCATATTCTTCTTAATAAGACCCTATAGCAATCATCATATTTGTGTATTCTATTATTTGATATAACCTTCAAATGTATAGTTATTAGAGCAGATTTAAACAAATTATAATAATTTAATCATAAAATAATAATTTATCATTGGTATTTGGATTTAAATGAAATCTAAAAGAAGAAAATGAGTACATTTTATTGCTTTGCATACAAAAGAAGCCAGTTCCCCCTACCAATCGAAATTGGCATTTATAGTTGTGACGACAGCCTAATTAAAACTCAACATACTCTTTGAAATGTGGGTTTTTCTAATATTTGTTTCTCGTAACGTGTTTGAAAATATTACATTAAGGAAATATTTGGAAATCAACTTTGATGTCTTTTCGACAAACAGAAAATGCAACATTCACTGCGTTTATTATCATCGAGTCTCGTCGGAACCGATAAGTTTCTACTGTCGAATCCTACAAAACAAAACCTCAACACATTCAATAGTCGAGTAGTGTAGATAGTTTTAGGATCCGATATAATGAGTTCGACCTTGGATATTATTTTGCGTAATTATGACTGTTCATTCATGTACTTTTTGTTTTTTCCATTAATAATAAATTTAGTGATCAAAACCGTTCATACCCTTAAATAATATCTTTATATTTCTTATGTTGGTTCATTGATATATTACGACAAAACAATCATAAACTGTAGTGAAGATTTGATCACTTGATTAATTAAATCATTGGTACTCAAAAAATGGTTGGCCTATAGAAACATTTAAATATTTGTGTTAGTTTTATAAGTGAATTTTCACCATTCTAATCTTAATCACAATTGACATTCATTATTGTATTTTTCTTTGAAATTCTTCTCAAACTGATCGGCTTATAATAGTTTGTTAACAAAATGTTTCAATCTTTGTGACCTCTGAATAAAAACGAAACAAAGAAAGGTTTCGTGTACTATTCGTTTTCCTTTTCTTTTCGATACTCAACACTTGTGTGTATGTTAATGAATTGTTTGCATGAAGATTAACTTCGATCCTTTTTCTCTTTTGTTTTGTATGACCAGACAATTATAACAAAATTGAATGTATCGAACAGTGTACGAATAGTTAAATGCCGTCATGATGAAATATTCACTGACTTGGAACCAATTGTTCATTATTAATTGTTTCATTTTCTGTACATTGATACAGTTTTGTAATTCACATGGTAGAATGCTTGAACCACCACAAAGAGGTAACTAGAAATAGAGTTGACTCATATGAACTTTATCTATAATATTATTTGAAGGTTCAATGTGGCGTTTTGGATTTGATGTACCAGTTAATTATAATGATATGAGTAATTATTGTGGCGGAAAAGAAAATCAATGGACTGTGCAGAAAGGTCAATGTGGTGTTTGTGGAGATCCATTTCAAGGTAGATTTTATCATTGTCTTGTTTTTTTTTGTTCAATTGAATTTCTAGGTCCTCATGATCATGAGGATGGTGGTATATATGCAACAGGTATCATAGGTCGTACATATGAATCAAGTACAACGATCAATACAACAATTGATATTACTGCTAATCATTTTGGTTATTTTGAATTTCGATTATGTCCACTTGATATGGGACATTCTCGTCGGCCGCGTCGTTTAACTCAGCAATGTCTAGATCAATATCTTTTAAAAATTGGTCCAAGTGATTCGAAATCAAATGGAGATGATACTCGATATTATTTACCTCATGGAAATAAATCATATTTTTATGTTCCTGTTGAATTACCTGCAGAAATAACTTCGTGTGAGCATTGTGTTCTTCAATGGAAATATCATGCTGGAAATACATGGGGAAAAGATCACAAAGGAAGAAAATGCTTAGGATGTGCTGATCAACAAGAAGAATTTTATAATTGTGCTGATATTGCAATTGTTGAAGGATCATCAAATGAATTGATTACACCAGCTTATGATGATAATAGCACAACGGCAGGAAATAGTGGTAATATTCAATGTTTTTCTGCACAATTTCTTTTTTTTATTTGTTTGCCTACTTCACTCATGTTATTTTTGTTTTTTTTGAGTTTGTAAATTATGATGAAATGTGTTTAAATGCAATCGTGGACAAAACGTTTTCGAAATTTTACTGACTGTTGTTTGTTTTTTAAATAATTTAAGTAAAATAATCTTATTAATATTTAAAAATAGTATTGAATTTCATGCATTTAAAAACATTACAATGATGGTCAGATCTTTCTGAGGTTTTTCTATTTCGACTAAACAGAAGAATAATAAATGTGATCGATATATTTGAAAGTCAATGATATATGCTCGTTTGACTTGTGATTATTTCCTTGATAGAACATCAGTAAGCTTTTTATACATCGGCATTTGTGAAATATAAAAATATGTTTTAATTTTCATGCTTTATATTATGTATTTTTCTTTCATTATGTTAAAATGGTAAACGCGATTGTCGATAGCTACTAACGAGACTCGTCTCTTTCGATTCTGATCAGCATGGGTATAAATGTATCAGTATCCCATGTGAAAACTTCATTTAATGCCAGTTTTTATGATACATGTATCTGTACTTCTCCAAAACTATGATAAGATTATCTGTTCATATATATATATATATTTGTAAAACCTCTTTATAGCTCTCTGACCACTTGCGGTTCTAAAGGAACGTTATGTTAGTTACACTGATTGGTAGTAGTAAAGAGATAGATCGACAAAAGAAAAAAGAGAAAAAGTAGAAAAAGAACGACGAACAAAAATAGATTAGAAGGCTTCTAGGAACTCTGTAAAGGATCGAAGATCTTTTTCATACAACATTACTGATGAATTTGTTATTTCATGAGAGGATATTCACTTTGCAGCTATAATAAACGCATCGGTATGTGGAACAAAGCACTTTCATCTGTGAAGACAACAAATTCGTGGTCTACCTTCCTCCTATAAAGACTTGTGAGTGTTCAGTGACGCTAGCTCTAGTAGGAGATAACCATCGAACGATTTTGCTAATGTTATGCAGTATTTTTCTTAGTAGACGTAGCACACATCATCGAATTATCGTTCATCATAATTAGGCAGAATCGAAGAAGAAATCCTTTCAACAAAGGTAGCGATATACATGTTTTAGTAAAACGTAGTACAGGTCGTTACGTCTTAACCGTTGCCTATCGATGAACATGGAATAATCTTTTCACATATATTAATCAATGTTGTTTTAATGGAGATACAATATGTTCTATTAAACCGAAGAGTTAACACAGAAAAAAAGAATCGATTATAAGTTTTTTATATTCTATGAATGCCGAAGATGTTTTTATAAAAATACAAGGAGAGATCAGTTTTTCACTATATTAACTTATTTTCAACATACATACAATAGCAGACTACTTCGAGAATTTTTCAAGTTATGAACTTATGTTCATACCTGTCTATAATAGTAATTGACTTATCAAATCGACTCTCAATGAGCAACCATGTCGTTAATATAACTTCTTGTGTTTAGGCAACACTTCATATAAGCGATAATTTGTTTACAATAATAAGACTCGGTATTAAGTTTAATACCCCCAGTGTATTTTTCTTGTCCTGTAGATTGATTAATAGACAAAGACAAAAATAAACGACTCATTCGTGATAATAATACATGTGTATGGTGTTTCATCTGATACTTGACGAGAGAGAAACAAGTAATTAATTTGATAGTCGAGCAGTAATATTGTTCGGCAACTTAAGATGATGAAAAATTGAGAGTAATTTGATTAATATGTGGTATACATTTTTCTGTTGTTTTCATCTACGATATAATAATTAATCTGAAATTATCTAAATAATGAGTAATGTTAGTTAAACAAAGTCACAGCTGACTAAAACATTCGATTGCTTTTAGACAGCAAAACTGATATTGAACTACGACGAGAACTTCAAAATAAAATGTTTACGATACATTAATCGAAGAAAGAAAGATTATTAAATGATAGAATGTTTTAATAGACAATTTAACACAGACTATTAAGCTAATAACTATTCCCATACATCAAACATTGATATCGATCAGTGTCGATATATTTTTGGCATGATGACATTTGCTCTTGTAGTTAATATCATTCATTTTTCATGTATCATAGTAATTAACAAGACTTGCGTATTGGCGAAATATATTCCATCGTTTTAAGAAGAATCTTATGCCATAGTATAGCTTTCTATAAAATATTAACAAGAAGAGTACATTACAGTAGTAACAATATTATCCAAGGTAAAGTTAAAAATTTGGGTTGCTTTTTTATCTAATATTATTTTAATAATTTTCATAAACTAATTAATTGAACTGGAAATAGTTATGGATATCGTCTAATATTACGCTGTAATCAATGACACCAAAGTTTTTTCAAAAAATAATTCAGTTTCTAGACAGAGCTAATAAAGAATGCTTGGATTGTATTATCGAAGATACTCTTGGAATTCAATGAGACATAATATTTTTCTATATATTTCGTTATCCATTGACTTGAAAGAATCAGAAAAAGAAAAGATAATATTTACTTCACATATCCGATTTACTATTTTCATTATCTGAATTGATTAGTGATCATCATCGTAAATTCTTGATCTCTTTGCTAGTAATATATTTCTTCCTAGTTAAAGGCGTCAAAAACACAAGCTCTATCCAGCTCAGATTACATGATCAATAGTGACCTGTTGTGTTCTAATTATTATAGAAAAAAAATATTTTGCATTTTTCTTTCTTTCCTTCTAGCGATTTATTATAAAATAATCATCAGTAAATGCTGTCTATCTATGAAGTTGCTTTCTCCTACACTATTTTCTTGATCATATTCTAACAAAACAGATAGAAAAAGCATATCATTGTTTTAAGTATTTAAATATTAATAATTAATTTTTATAGAACCTATTATACTCATCTATCATTTGATTCACAATGCCGGCATATGGAATGGACATCGCTCTTAAAAGAAAGGTAATTCACTATATATCTTTCGCTTATAGTTAACGAACATCTAGAAAAAAGTTTTTCTTCATTCATTTATAACAAATATCGAACCGACCAAAGAAATAGTTACACCCAATAGACGATACTAAAACTACTGTTATTACTTAGTTACTTAAGCAACAATGTCGATACTTATACTATCAATATCTATTATATAACTTTCAAAACACTCCGTTAATATATGACATTAAGATAGGATAGACTAATTAATATTATCATCAAGTGGGTATACATATACATATGCTTGATGTGGAACAAGTCAAACTTTCTTAAACCGCAAATAATAGTGGTTAATGTTTGTTTGCTTTCATTAGATATGTTTGCACTTGAACAGTAGAAAAGCATAGATGACGTCCGAGTGTGTAAGCAGAAATAAACGAATAGAATTCACTATACTTAAAGTAATGCATATTACATTGACTAAGTTCGTTGACCTTAATAATTTGAAACGAGATTATTTATCTTCATATTTGCGCTATCGAGGAAACACTTCCAAGTGATTCACTTCATTTGTCCTCATATTTATCAATATGTAGAAGATCACTAAACTAGCGCAATCTTCAAAATTTTTCTGTTCATGTCTAAATTTGGTTGAGATGTCGCCTTTTTTGGTAGATTTTTCCTGCAAAATTTCAGTTTTCGAAAAATAATTATATATGAAAATGTCAACTTGAAACTTTGCACACATGAAGGTCTCTATTGGACTATTTCATGCAAAATGTGTCATCAGTTTTGGATATTACATTGCCAAGATATAGATTTATCAATATATCCCTATCTTGTGTAGCAGTTAAGGAAAAGCGTAGATATATTGAGAAATCTATATCTTAGCAATGTGATATCCAAAACTGATGACACTTTGTACATGAGATAGCTTAATAGAGACCTTCATGTGTACAAGATGTCAGGTCGAAGTTCCCGCAACTAATTTTTTTCGAACACTGAACTCCCGTAGAAGGATTCTACTAAAAAATAGCTATTTCAACCAAATATAAGTATGAATAAAAGACCTTTAGAAGTTATGCTACTCTAGTGATCTTCTCAATACTGGTAAAATATGAGAGTAAATGAAGCAGATTACTTAGATCCGTTTCCTCATATGGAAATATTTCCTTTTATGTTCTCTTGATTGTACTCTTTCTCGTTTATAACACAATATTTTTCAGCAGAACCTTATCTTTCAGAAAAACCGATATCATCATCATCATCATCATCATTTATCTTTCTTGGTACAACATTTTTTGTATGTTTACAAAAATATCTTCCGAAGACAAGCTTAAATATACAGTATTTGCTAGTATTTTTCTTTCTATTTGAAAACGCCATCTTCCATAGACTTTAAGCGATATCTATATTAACACTAGGATATATCTTTGTTATTTTCAACTTTTCTTTGATCGAAATTTACTTTTATTAATATCCATCTTAAGTTGAAGAGTATGTCTCATCTTGGACCTGCATATGGGTCATTGGCTGCTAATCAAAGAAAGGTGAAACAGTTATTTAAATTTTATTTTCTCAAGCTTCATTTTATTATTTAACAAAACTAAATAACAAGACACTGAATATAAGAAGATATGAGATTTCTTTGTAAAGATACTGATCCTATTTTTTTATGTTTTCTTTATCTGTGCATAAACATACATGTACCAAGGATTTTCTCATCTACTCAATAGCTATGAGTGTACTTGTTCTTCATGTAAATGAAACAGGATACTAATGGATTATCATCGAGTAGACTTATTAACCATATTTTATCATCTATATCTTATGGATTGCATTATTGAGGAAATGGTTTAATGAAAAAGTGTTTTCTTCACTGCTTTTGACAACGAGAATCAACATAAAAAATCTTTCAGAATATGAAATCATAGGTTTTTTTTTAATACACGAATCATGAACGATCAATTATTTCTTCTCTTCTTTCTATTTTTTGTATAACAAGTTTATTAGACACGTATAAAAATGTATTGAATGTTTAGATCGCGGCAAAACGTGATCCAAATCTTGATCGAGAAGTTCAAGAATGGATTGAAGCTATAATTGGAGAGAAATTTCCCGATGTTCCTTATGAAGAAGCGCTTAAGGACGGTGTTGTTCTATGCAAGTAAAGTTTTAATTTTCTTTTGTTTTTTTGATTCATTTAATCATATTTTATTACCTATGAAAATACAATAGACTAATGAATAAACTTCAACCAAATGCTATTCCGAAATATACGACATCAGGTGGATCATTTAAATTTCGCGAAAACATTTCACTTTTTCGTAAGTAATAAATTATTCTTTCATGGTGAAAAAATTTCTATAGAAAAATAAAAATAGAAAATGCTGCTCGTAACTATGGTCTAACAGATCCTGAACTTTTTCAAACTATTGATCTTTTTGAGAAACGCAATATTCCGCAAGTATCTCGGTGTTTATTTGCACTTAGTCGACAAGTAAGTCATCGATCTATTGAAGAATTTATATATGTCATATTATGTTCTTTTTCTAGGCACGTAAAAACAAATTCAATGGTCCAATACTCGGTCCTAGAATGTCTCAAGCCAATATACATGAATCCACTGAAGAAAAATTAAATGCTGCGAATTAACTAGGTCAAAACTTTGATCTAACACACCATATGTGAATTATTACAAATATATTTAAAATTAAAATAATTTTAATAGACTAATAATAATAGTGAAGATAATTTTTTTTGCACGCTAGAGTATATTTAACTATCATATACATGTATTTTTAAATGCTATTGCTACTTCCACCGATGACTTAATTACCTCATAATAAAGAATGATGATAGATAGTGCTAATAAAAAAAAAATTTTCTTTTCTCAATTTGTATTCAACAGATGTGTTGTTGACGAATAAGAGCTTAAATGTTGTTGTGTCTCTGTAAAAGCAAAATCTATGCACGGAATTATAATAACTTGAAAGTATTTTAATGACATTAGGTATGATTATCGAAATGATAAGATTATTCGAAATAATCTAACAGATCAATTGAATCACTAAAAAATTCATTTTACTATAAAAAAAACGTTGATTTCAAAAAAACATCAGTTAAGTAAGATTTATGGTTTTGTACTGCGCAAAAGATATATGATTTGACTGTCTTGTATTAACAGAAAAGCATGATAGCTATTCATTGCAATCCTCTATCCTCAAAAATCAATCTTGAACCAGGTATACTTCAATTGTATGAGATTTTCAGGATATGTTGGAGCTATAAAGGAGAGGCTATGCTAAAATTGTCAGCTCTATATTATAATGTTTTCGAGAAATACTCATCAAATAAAGGTCAAAAACAACTCATTTGGCAACACAAAATTTGCTGTGAACGCTCATAATATATACTTCATTTTTTTTATTTGAAAGAACATGTCAAATTGTCGTTCCTAATAGTTCTTTTTTAAAATAAATTCTTATTGTTTATGCGAAAAGAAAAAATGAAAAGTTCAATACCTCGAAAAATTCTCAAAAACTGGTCATCTATTTATAGAACTGCAGTTTTATATAATAATAATAATAGCGCTTGATTTAAAAGAAAACGGACTTTCTCAAACACTGCAAGTTCACATACTCTTTCAAACAAAAAAAAATGTGCAACCGGCTACAATGAAATTCATTCGAGAATTGTGAAATATGAAATCAGAAAAGCATGAATAGAAAAACAATGAAAAACACTTTCCTGATTTTCTGAAAACAAAAGATATTTTCTAAGCAGACACTGATGAAAATCATCTAAAAATTGTTGAAAAAAATAACATACCAAATAAAAACTTACATTGTTTGTGAAAGATCTGATATCAAACTATCATTCCATGCATTTATCATAACTTTGATTGATCTGACAGAAATGAAATTATTTTTAGGGGAACTTAAAACTGAGTATTTTTCACAAAGTATTAATCGTTTTATTCTTTTCACGTAATATGATTATAATTATTTGTTGTTCTATGTCGAGTACGAGATGAGAATAAAAACTTTATGTAACATTACTGTACTGAAAAAATTTCAGTTACTTTTTTTTATACATACAGTTGAAATTAAGTGAGACCATTACTCTGCGATATAATAATTATGAAATAAATAATCTCATAAACAAGTTAACTTTACTTACACAAAACATTTTCGACCAAATTCTATTAATATTTAACTGTCTTATACTCAATGTCTGATTTTTTTCAAAAACGTTTTTTTTTTCAATGTATTATGTAACAAATAGAGTAAACTATTTCGCTGCTATATCATCCATAAAATTGAATACTTTTTTAGAAATAGACTAGAAAAAGAAAAATCTTAGTCAACTATTTCATAACAAAACTGTACCAATTTCATCGAAGTCTTTTGATAGTCCATTTTTATTCAGTGAACTTCTTGTTAGCATCGTCATTCATAACAACGTACATTGAGCAACAGTTGTGTGATCAATCTTTTCCCTAATATGCATAACACCGATGACCATCAAATTTATCATCACGCATCAATAAATAATTAGATGCTAATGAATAATGGATCTCTTTAGTTAACTTCATTACATCAAGTCATCTGTATCAGCTGGTGACCTCACCATTGTCGAACCTTTGTCAATCTCTATTCATCTTTTTTGCCAACTGTCACTGCTTTACTGTGGCTGTAGAATAATGTTTATTTTACATAAACATTATTGCTTTCATTTCTTAAATTATATATTCAATAATTCATTTTATCAACCTTCAGTTTTAACGTTCATATTTCAATTTTTGAAAAAACTAAGAATAATATGTTACATTTAGCGATGACAAATCTCCTACACAACAACACATAGACTTTTTCGTTCAGAAGCGTAAGACAAACAATAGTTTTATTGAACATTTCTATTTATCACATCAAGTGTTTGATCAATACGATGAAATAAATAAATTCTTGATTGAAAAGTACATGATAATGATTAAAGAATACAGAATTAATTAATTATCCAAATGTTCAGAAATGAATACAAGATATTATTCGATGAGTTATTCAATTAACTTGTTTAGCAGCTGGCCAGTAAATTATACCTAATGGTATTTATTCAAGAAGAATTGAGATCTCAATGGAGTTAGTTATAATAGATAAATAGGTTATTACGTGCAAAACAATACAGTAGCAGTCCTACGTATTCTAGCATGTTCTAGATAAAAGAAGATATTGTTAGAAAGAAAATAACAGCAACAACAACAACATTCCATGTGACAACACTATTCGAATTTATCGTAGAAAAGATAACAGATATCTTCAAGAAACCATAAAGAAGAGAACAGTTGCCCACACTGTGTATACTTATAATATTTTACTGTAGCAATGATAGTAACTGACAATAATGATAATCAATGACGTAACAAGTAATATAATCAGAAAAGATGGAACTCCTTCCATTGACATATCTTGTCTTTGTTTAAACATTTTGTGTCATTGAATCTGATAATTCAATGAATTGTAATCGTCAACTAATTTTAAATTTCAATAAAAAAAATTGTCCATTGAATTTCAAAATACTTTTCAGATTTTTACAACGTTATATACTCAGAAATTGCTTATTAAGAGAGAAAACATCAATTAAACATATTTTCAATCTCGATAGAGCTTTCATCTGCATTGAAAAATTATTGAAAATATCCACAACAGATAATTTCACTATACTTCATTGAAATAACTGCTACAATCTATCCCGTTCTGGTTTACATCTTGTTATCATATTGTTTTTTGACTTCCTATTTACCAAACATTTTTTGTTACTATTACTAGAACGAAGCCATACAGAAATAAGCCGATAAATAAAAGGCTTCTGATGAAATAGGACAACTGTAACTAATAACAATTATCTATCATCATCACATTCAGTGTCAAGGCTATACTTATACATGTATATCAGGTGGTAAATAATCAAAGATAAAACAATAATTTCTTACAAATATTTGAAACTGACTGTTAACTATAATTTTCTATTTGAACAATATCAATCAAATCAATTAATCGAGCAGTAGTAATTCTTATTCTGCAACAAAAATAAACATAATGATGATTTGACTTCTTGTATATTTTTCTTTTTGGTTTACTTTTTGTACAATTACTTTCCGAATCGAAATATGGCATTCACTCACTGTTGCCTATCTTTCATTATCTGCTTACGAAAAATGTACAAATTTAAAAAAATAACAAAATTAATCTTAAATAACTGATATTAGATTTGCTGGAATTACCAAAATGGTATAAAATGTTTGTATTCGGTCGACTTTATTTAATTTCTGGTATCGATGATCTATTCATTATCATTTCTTAGCAAAATTGAAAATGTATATCCTTGAACCTATTTATTTATTTGCATATGACCTCATTCGTCATTTTCCAAATATAGCAACATCGAGTTTTTTTTTACGAAAGAAGAATGTCATATTTCCTGTCAGCAACCAATATTGCTTTTGTCGCTTCTTTCTGTTCCTTTTTCTTTTCCCTCTTTCTTTCTTTTTCTTTTCTACGCCCATTTTGGATATATCTTTCGTGGCAATATCCAGATAATTATTTGTCAGTACTCGTTGGTATTACTTTCTTTCTATAGCACTCGCATTTCTACTTAGTGTGTGTATTGTGGTTAAAGAAAAATGGCCAATTACGGACCTTCATATGGATCACTAGCTGAAAATCAAGCAAAGGTGAGAACATTTTCTAGACCCATCTTTTTAATCTTATATGTACATTATACATATCTAAAAATCATACTATCGTTCGTTAATGAACAAAACATGATCTATAGTATGTTAACATCACAATTCGTTAATGCACATATACATTTTTCTTTTGCTCATGTTAGAATATGAATGTATACATGAGTTATTCCTGAATGAGTGATAAAATTGATTTGAGTTGTTCCATTATGCCCGAAAGGAGAAATAAACAAATAACAGTAACTGTCTTTTACTACAGATGATCGAGATATGCCATTAATGGTAACAGCAATTCGAACCCGTACGATAGTATATTTTTACAATATGCATTATGTTTCTCTCAGTTGGGCACCATGAACTAAGAAATCTCTTGAGATGTTAACAAATAGTTCCAATATATCGATCGTAATCAATTGTTTCTTTCTTTCTTTGTTTTTTTTTTCTTTCTTTTATTTATCCATGTTATTTTCTAATAGTTCTTTATTTGGCAATGATATTTACATATCCGAATTGTTTAGATTGCAGGAAAGCGTAGCACAGATCTAGATCATGAAGCTCAAGAATGGGTTGAAGCTGTCATCGGAGAGAAATTTCCAAAGTGTGCTTATGAAGATGCACTTAAGGATGGCATTATCTTGTGCAAGTAGGATTTGTTTTTGCTATTAACTAATTCTATGAAATATCTTTTTCTTTTTACACCTTAAAAAAAATTATAGATTGATAAATAAACTTCAACCAGGTTCTGTCTCAAAAATTTGTACATCAGGTGGAGGTTTTAAATTACGTGAAAATGTATCTGCTTTTCGTAAGTTATTATTATTGCATTAATAATATATATAATTATTCAATAAATTAATAGAAGCGGCTGCTCGTGCTTATGGTCTACCTGATGCTGAACTTTTTCAAACAGTAGATCTTTTTGAAAAACGTAATATTCCTCAAGTAACACAATGTATTCATGCATTAGGTCGACATGTAAATGATGCACTCACTTATGTTATTAATCCATTTTCAATGTATTTCTTTTTAGGCACAAAGAAAAAAATTTACCGGACCAACACTTGGACCTAAAATGTCTGACAGTAATCAACGTGATTTTAGTGATGAGCAATTACGTGCTGGACAAAGTATGGTTGGTTTACTCAATGAAGGCATGAATAAAGGTGCAAATCAATCTGGCCAAAATTTTGGTTTATCACGTCACATTTAAGACAATAAAAAAGAAGCAAAGATATGAACACTAATAGACAATGGTTTTTTTTTCTTCACTTTATTAACATAATCACTAATCTATACTATATAAGTGTATACTATCCTCGATACTTATGTATTTCTTTTTGAATAAATTTAGCATTTTAAATGAATAAGAGAGATTTCTAAACATTACATTAAGAATATTTATTATGTCTGGAATTTAATTATTAAATACCTTGTATATTCTGACACAAGTAGAAATCATGAATTTCTGTAGTAATAACGCTGTATTTCTTTTATTCACATGAGAAATATGAGGCAAGCCTATTCGATTTTCTCATAAATCACTTAGAATCATTTTTTAGATAAAATATCAGTAATTCATGACCTACATCTATTTGCCCTGACTAATATAAATATATGAAGTGCTCAAGGTCTTAGATGTTAAATAATATCTTTGCTCATACCGAGTGTGGAAAAAGTTTTACGTGTAACTCTGTTCAGAAACACGATACAGCTTTGACTTTTTTTTCTCAAAGATGCGCCATTGAATGTTTTATTCGCATGAAAAGATCAAATCTTTATAGCTATTTTCGAAATTTAAGTAGACTGCTAACACTGAACACGTGTATTATCAGGTTATTTCATACAGAGAAAAAAAAACAAGAAAAAGTCGAAAATTATTGAATTTTGTTCATTCATTTTGCCGACTATGTTTGAAACTAATCAGAGACCTAATGTGATCTTCAACACATGAAGATTAATGATCATCCTCATCTCAAATAAAGTGAAAAATAACATTTGTGTCAACGGATCTGGATGCTTTGCCAGGAAATAAAACGTTTTTTGGCTGTGTTGTTCTCAAATATATCGTCTAAAAAAATAGTGGCTTCAACTGAAGATGATGAAAATATGTTGAGAAGAAATCAGTACTGATCTCGTATGAAATATTGATGAGTGATGAACATTGTGGTTTTTCACAACGTTTGAAATAGTACATTTTATCTCAAATTGATTTGATTAAAAATGACCTTAGTTGTCAATCACAAAATGGATTTTTGCCCATTTCTCCTTGTGGAATATAACATGATGACACACCTGTGCAGTGTTAGTGGTCTATTCGAATTTCGAAAATAGCTACAAAGCTTTGATCTTGTGATCCGAGTAGACCATTTAATGGCACATCTTTAAAAAACAACGACCAACCTTTTATAATATTCCTAAACTGAATTACATGTAAAACATTTACAAATATTAGTAAATGAAAAGTTTCTCGTCTACTCAAACTCAAGAAGTATCTTATATTTTCAATATATCTTGACCATTACACTTGTAGAACACATCTTTGTCAGAAAACTATGAAACAAAAAATTGCAAATAATCAAATTATTATTCATCAAAGCTATAAGTAAACAATTTGTATTCAGACTATTACAGCTTTATTGAATTTTTCTAATAGCTCACTTATATTCAATGATCATCATTTATAATGACATAAGTAATACTTCTATTGCACATCTACTCTGTAGTTTCTAGCCATAAAATATTTTACTACGACTTTCTTTACCTTCGTACATGAATTAACAATACCACGATTATAATGGTTGTCTTGCATTATTGATTGATTATACATATGCAACAAATTTGACACGAATGGATGAACTTCGTTGTTTTCAATCGAATATTTCATTAATATGATTGAACTTTGTGAATGTACTCTTTTCATTAATTCCCTAATAGTATTAATAATGTATTAAACATTCGAATATTGATGCAAAACAAGGTTGCACATAACTAAAATTAAATATTACTAAATAATCAGAGTCGCCCAGTTAAAAAGTGAAAAACGGGAAACTTATGTTCCTAAATGAGAAAAACATTGGAAATCGATTTCTATTGTGTTAAAATGCTTGATATTTTTTCTTAATAGTATAATATACATTAATCTGGTGTTCACTAATGTACACGCTACACAAAAGATATTACATAAAAATAAAATGAGAAAAACAATATGAATGTACAATTTATTCAGGATAAACAAAACAAAAAACACCTAATCAGTTTTGCATGCATTCTTTCTTAAAATTTCAAGCTACTTTTACAATTAGACATGCTAGTCTATATGTTTATGTTAGTGATAGATGAATCACTCTGACAAGAGGAACTTCAACGATGAACCGAAAGTGCATTTTTCAAGATATAAAATATATGTTTCTTCAATATGTAATGAGCAGGCAACATGTTATTATTATCAACGTTTTTAAATGACAATTTTTTTCTCATGATTGCTATAAAGATGTTATATAAAAATTAGAATAAGACTGGTGTTAGAAATCTGTTTTGAAAATAATTTTTTAGTAGTTTTTAAGAGAAAAACAATTAGTTCCGAGTAGAATCGACACTAAAAGTACAGTCGATAGCGTTAACGAAAAGTTTGAAAACTTTGGTAAGTCTTCCATTTAGAAGGTCCTTATGAAAATCTCTTACGCTGAGCCACTTCAAAAAAAATGTTTGAGTCTTTTGAAAGATTACATGTTTGAAAATGAAACAATAAAAAGATAATAAAATAAAATCTAATAATTGCAGCAAAATATAAAAAATTATAAAATCAAGAATAATTTCTTTCTTTTATTATGTTTTTGATCAAGCAGCTTAAAATACTCAACATGGTCATTTATACATTTACTTATTTACTATCATTACATCGTTATGAAAACACAACAACAGGTACTGATCGTATTAGAACAACAACTGGTAGTGATCGTGATATAAGTGCAACAAAAGGTAGTGGTCGTGATATGAACAACATCAGGTTAAGGTTATGGTCAAGTTAAAATTCAACAACAACAACTCAAACTTCTTTGATAATGTCCGAATAAATAGGACGAAATATTAGAATCGAACAAAAAACAAAACATAATAAAAGAAAGAAATTATTCTTGATTTTATAATTTTTTATATTTTGCTGCAATTATTAGATTTCATTTTATTATTAGACTAAATGCTCATGTTATTCAATTTACAATAAAAAGAGTTTGATGAAAAATCAGATTGTCCTTGGCAAAGAGGAAAACTTTTTTGTCAAGGTATTCCATTCTGATATGCTGAAAACCAATGTTTATCATGTATATTTACAATAAAATTTAAGTATTAAGTTAAATATATTGATGCAGTCGTGAAAGACAATCAACTTGAATATATGAGCATGGAATATCACCTAGGAGTAATGTCTTTAGTTGTTTTACTCAATTATGTTAAACGTAGTATTGACTTAGAAACTTCTTGCCGTAGATTTAAATAAACCGCAGCAAAAATATTAAAGTTACATAATGTCGCATGGAATTTGACTTTATAGATATTCAGTACTATACACTCTAGTTTGTAGAATAGATAAATTAGAAGTTTAGTATTTAATAGAAGCAGTGGCGGATTTAGGGGGGTGGTGATCAGGCGATCGCCTCCCCCTTCCAGAGATTTTTTTGTTTTTTCTCACCAAAAACGTGCGAACAACTGGTCTTTACTACCTCGCATAAGTCTCAAAAAGTGATTTTTGCCTATAACCGCCGCATCTTTCGAAAATCGCCCTTCCCTTCTAAAATTCTAGATCCGCCACTGAATAGAAGTCAAGTGCTGCTAATCTAATGCAGATGAAGAACTAGATAAGTGAATTAATAAAATATTAATCATCTTTAAAACTAACAGAATAACTCCTTATTTAAATTTATAAAGTAAAAAATGAGTTGTTAATCTTCATTAGAAATTTAATCTTCTTACAATAGTTTACATAAAAAATAGATAAGCAGAACTAGCGAGGGAATCTCTTCAGGTGTCAAGCTGCTTTTCGACTTAGACGATGTTTATTCGATGAATGCAGTGTGTAATAGAAAAAGTCTAGTATGGTTTGATTTTTCAAGCTTTTGTTCTTGAAATATCGACATATTACTGGATTTTTCAACAAAATGCTGTATTTCCCTCAGTCCACATGAAAAATTGACTTTCAATTTTTGACTTCAAATTTTGCACAAACAAAGTTCTTAATGAAATTATTTCACTAAGCAATGGTAACTTTTCTAGTATTTCCTATTCTCAGACATTCAATATTCGAAATTCTCTCATGTGTCAAAGCAAGTTTTGTTCATATGTTTACATCTTCAGAAAGGAAATAATAGTTGTACAATCAACTAGTCTCATTAGGGATTTTGTTCGTGGAAAGTTTGAAGTTAAAATTCGAAAGTCAATTTCCAGATGATTTGAACGGAACAACATCTTTTTGTTGAAAAACTTAGAAAGATTTCGATGTCTCAAGAACGAAGGCTAAGAAAATCAAAGCATTGTATATTTTTCTTTTACTAACTAATACTCATCAAATGAATATCGTCTCGATCGAAAAGTAATTTGACATCTGGAGAGGTTTCCTCATAAGTCAATAGTTCAAATATGTAGATCTTGATTACAAGATTTCGTAGTTATCTTTGTTCTTATATTTATATTTAGAAAAACAAAACAACGAACACTATGATACATGTTTTATAGACATATTTAAAAAAAAAAAAGAAATGAAATGAAAATCTTATGACGAAGTCGAATGTTGATAATATGGTGAAGAAAATGTATATGGAGATGAATATCGACTTGCAGCAGCTGCCGCTAACGTGAATGGATTGGTCGAAGATGTGGGTCCAATTGATGTCATTGTCGAATAAGTAAATGGATATGTTGGAGCAAATCGAGAATAAGGTGATGTATATAAATTTGGATCATATAAATGACTTTGATGAGAATGAAATTGATTTTCATATGAATCAGTAAATGAAGTTGTTGAATCAGGAACATCAATTGTACTACTTGCAGGTACAATACGTGAAGGAGGTGTTTGATCTTCTTCACCGGAACTTGATTTACATCGTTTTGATGATTCTGGTGTTGTATATAGATCTATAGAAAAATCATAAAATTAATATATGTTAGTTTTTGGTGAATATCATTCATACCATTACATTTAAGTCTTCGATCATAATCATCATCAATATGTCGTTTAATTGATTTAACATCTCTATAAATAAAATGAAGACATTTATTAAATAGTTTTTATATTTTATTTAATACATACTTTCGATTAGCATGTCCATTATTGTCACGAAAACCTTTAGCAAACTATAATCATAAACAAATATAAATGTTCTTTTTCTTCTTACTTCTATTATTTTATATATTACTTACTGGATTATTATCGATTTTTAATCGAGTGACCTAGAATGTAGATAAAGAAAATATTTTCTTAAAAGAAATATATAAAAATATTTACATGTTCGTTTTGATAAGCAGTTACGGCAATAAATTGGGTCTCTGGGAAGATGAATATGTTGACATTATCCAATGGTGTCATGGATAATTTCGTGTCAGTATTTGATGAACTAACTGCTTGAATTATATGAAGACGAGGAATATATTTATGCATTGAATTTAATATAATCTAAAAACGAAGAAAATTTTTTTCAAAAAACCAATTAAAAGGAAAAAAAAACAGACATGTCCATTTTGATCAGTTGTATTATTTGTTAATTTAAGTTTACCAAATGATAATGGTTGTTTCATTAATTGTGCTCCAGTTGAATTACTATCCGGATGAGGATAAAAACGACCTGGCACTAATAAAAAAAAAAAAGAGAATATTTATTTGACTCAAATGTAAGACATTAAACTTACTATGTGGTTCAGCTGCACCAGTAATCATCCATTGAGAATTATGATATTTGTATCGATGATTATCAACAGGTACAACATCCATATATACAATATATTTACTTGTTGGATCAAGTCCAGTTAGTAAAATTTTAAAAGTTGGAAACATACGCCTTAAAAAAAAATATAGATAAACATTGACTACTGCTGTGTGTATGTTGAGAACAAAAATCAATTAGTTGTTCAGCCATCATTGACATCATACAATAAGGAAGCATCAGTCAACGAGCAGATGTATCCAACAGTGGCCATGTCACCCACTCAATATATAAAACACCAACTGGGCATGAACGCACATCTCTCAAGAGATTGAAACAATAAGGTGAGCAGAGCACAGCACACACACACACATACAACTTGATCAACTAGTCTACTTAAGTGACGAGAACGATTAAGTGAGAGACAAGAACTTGTCAGCTAATTATTCTTCGATAGTATTTCAACAAAAATTGATTGTTTGGATCTCAATAAAGAAAGAAAAGAAGAAGAAAAATTATATTTTTACCTTCCATTTTTCGTAATAATCATTTCTAAATTAAGTGCAGCAAAACGTTTCCATAAATCCATATTTTCAAGTTTAGCATCTATATTTGGGTCAGCACGTTTCGTTGTATGAATAAATGTATATGGTGATCGAGAAGTATCTAAATAAATATTACAATAAGACTTCAAGTTTCTTTTTTTTTTATATTTAAACTTATACCAGCAAACGAAGACATATCTTCATAAAAGCTAAAACCAAATCCATATGCTGGTGTTGGTGTATGTCCATAAACAAGTGATACTGGCGATCTATGATGATGATGATGATGATGATGTGGATGAGAATATGGAATACGTGAAGATGAAGATGTTGTAATTATTCCTGTGGATGCTGAATTAAAAATTCCGTCAGTATCTTCTTCATTAGGATATGTTGATTTATTTCCTTCATCTGAAGATGTTGAACAAATGGCAAGCATCGATTCAGATGCTAGTTGAGGTTGTAAGTAAGACAACATATATGATGTAATTCAATCGATTCGTATGTGATATGTATCGTTATGCTCAGGTCAAAAACAATTGCCACGATGCTGTAACAAGCAAGAACAACAGAGAAAGAGAAAAAAAGAATTTCTCTTTTTTCTTCGTCCAATGATTTTATTCATCCAATAAGAAAAGAGAATGACCGAGAAAAAAAAAATTTTTTTCATATCTGAACAATTGAAACATTCTAAATATTCTTCTTTTTCCCCAATCGACTTTTATATTTATGGCAATATTGACTATTACTACTCTATAAGCATGCGTTGTGTTTTTATGACGTGCGACTATAATCGTTTATGAATAGAGAAAGAGACGGAGAGACATTGAAAAAAAAATAGAAACATTTTTTTCGTATTGGTTTCTAATAATGTCATTGATTCACAAGAGATTACAACGAAATAGTGTGAAAATCCCATTTACTAGATTAAAATTAACTATGCATTTTTTTTCTGTGCCCTTAATGTATTATATTTTATATGCATTGACGCATTAACATTTTAATTCTATTAAATAAATGATTTTAAATTGATTGTTAGATTTTATTGAATAAATATACACAAGACAAAAAAACAAAACGAACACACGAAGAGTATTTCTATGTCAAAAAAATGGTGTATTATAATTATTTGTTTGATAAACTGATGTTGGATAACGTCCATACGGATTAAAATGCATTGGAGTTGATGTTGATGGTATTGAATTCGATGGTGTTCCCATATATGTATAAGCCGGATTGTAAATCATTGATGATGGATCACTGGCATAGTTACTGTAAAATGAATTTGATGAAAATTGATGATGATGATGATATGGTGTAGTAAAATTCATCGAATTTATTTCACTGTCTTGTTCATGATCACCTACACTATTATCTAAATAAGTTGATGTTGTTGAATCAGCTACAGCTGCATGCATTGTTGATTGTGTTCGTGGAGAATTTGAATTTATTGATAATAAAGATGAATCACTTTTATACGGACGATGAAGATTTTCATCATATTTTCCTGATTTATCTACTGGGAGACTTGATTGAAGACGTTTTAATGGTTTAGAACTAGTTCTATAAAAATAAATGAATCACTTTTTATTTTCTTTCTCGAATGTATATTTACTTTTTTCCTTGTGTTGGCTCACGAAAACCTTTTGCAAATGGATTATTATTGATTTTTAATTTAGTAATCTAAGAAACAACATAAAAATAAATATACATAAATTTTTGTATAAGACTCACTTGATCATTTTGATATGCCGTAACAGCAATGAAAACAGTTTCATCAAATATAAATGTACTTGAAGGACCTGTTCGCATTGAATAACTATCCGATGCTTCAACAATATGTAAACGTGGAATATATCGATGCATTGAATTAAGAATAATCTTTACAATAAAAAAAAAAAAGATGATAAGATATGTTTTTCTTTTGATGGATTCTTATTTATAAATTCTTACATGATTAGGATTTTGCATTGGACTATTTGTTATTTTAACTTTATTAAAAAGAGTTGATTGTTTCATCCATTGTGCACCAGTTTGTGGACTATCCGGATGAACATAATATCTAAATAATTGTCAATTAAAAAAGAAAAGTCATATAAATGGAAGAAAAAATGAGATCTTACCGTCCATAAATATGTGGTTCAGCTTTACCGGAAATAGTCCATGAAGATTCATGATATTTATATCTATTATCATCCATAGGAACAATATCCAATAGAAACATATATTTTGCATTTGGATCAAGTTCACTGACAGAAACACGAAAATTTGGAAATAAACGACGACCACTTCTGCTTTGATAAAGAAAAATAATTTAATCAAAGGTACAAAAGTTGTTTTTTTTTTTAGTTTACTTTGTTATAATCATTTCATTTCCTAATGAATAAAAACGTTTCCATAAATCCATATCTTCAAGTTTAACATGAACTTTTGGATCAAGTCTTTCTCGTTTTATATCTAAAAAAGAAGAAGACAAAATAAAATTTATTTTGTTTATAAAATAAGATTAATTCTCATTTACCAGTACAACCAAAATAATTCACTGGGTCCATATTTGTATTTGTTGCTGTTGGATAGAATGAATTATACATATTAGCTGCAGCAGTAAATGCAGCCATTGATGCATAAGCTGATGAAGCAGCACGTTGGAAAAGATGATTGTCGTCAAGCATGGCAATCTTTAAGATAATTTTTTTTTTACAAATTTTTCTTCACACAAAACTCAAAGTCACCACACCCTTCTTCCACACCAAGGAAACTTGATAAAATAGACACTCTTTTTCTTTCTATTTCCTGTTGATAATAAAAGAGGAAAACTGCTTCGTCTTTTTTTCTCTTTTTTTCTCTTTCTCCGTTTTTTTCTTTTTGTTTTGTGATGATCTACCAATCAACTGCAAGAGAATTATTTCGTGTATCAATCAATGATGTCAATCTCAAGTTCATATTTCCATAAGATTTTATTTGTTGACATAATTAAACAGCTACCTATTATATTTAAGGCGATTGTCGACATTCTACTTGTTGATTTAATCATCAGTTAAATTAATATTCAATTATATCAGCTGTTGTATAACTAAATTGGACGTCATATAATCGAAGTTTTCAAAACGAACGATGAGCTCATTAAAGAGAAGAAAAAAAGAAAAAATATGTGAGATCGTGAGAGAAATAGATAGCGGAATGAATCTATCGTTTTAGTTTGATAAGGTGTCAAATGAACAAGTGAACCATACGATACATATGTTGCTATTAACAAAAAAAACATCAAAAATGCAAATTGATATGACAATTTGAGATCTCAAGAGGTCCCAATAGAGTCAAAAAAAACCAAAACATTGTTTTTTACATGAATAACATTTTGAGAATCACAACCAAGTGTAATCTATATTGGCTTGTCTATCATTCTTTTTTCTTTATTCTTTAAGCAATTGTCAGTTTGTTGTTTCCACACATTTGACCTGTCGCGTGTTTTTAAAGTAAAAACAAAACAAGATTAAAAAGATGAGTTAACTTGACAGCATTACATCACAGCCTGATGGCAATAATGCATGATGCTTGTCTATTTAAAAAAGCATATGGACTAATTTTCTTTTCTTTTTTAATCAGATCTTAAATATACAACAAAGTTTCTTAAACGGATCATATTTAGAACGATGAGAAAAACGTTGCAGGGCATTTCATTTATTTATAGCTTGATCAGACATTATTAACCAGGCTATCTGATGCGACCTAGTTGAGATAAAAATCATCACACAACGAATAGAGAATAATTTTTGTGCTACACCTAATTATAGATGCTCTTTCAATGGGTACAACATCCGAATAAAAAAGTCACACAGACACAGACACATCCATATACAATCCTCTCTATGTTGAAAAGAAAAAGGAAAATGACACGAATAAATGTGTGAGTGTAAAGAGCTAAGACCAATTTTCGAAATTTAATCAATTAGAGTATAGTATTAAGCGAATGTGCTAAGAGAATCATCAAGTCTGGATTGGTTTAATTAAAAAGAAAAGGGTTTTAGAAAAGAATTAGTTAATTTTATCAAACGATCAATTTTGATGTCGGATTTATTTGTGATAAATGTCTGATGCTGAAAATTGGAATCAACAAGTTGCTTGCTGCTCTAAGCTATCTTCATCTTTTTTCTTTTTCTTCTTCGATCGGCTACCATTGCTGCTGTTTTTAACACGATTTATTGCTTTGATCCTGTCGGGTATTAAAGGAAAAAAGAACCTTGAAGGTTTAAAAAATGTGTCAATTTAATCGTTCATTATGTCACAAGGCTAGAAAAGAAGAAAATAAAAATGAAAACGATATTTCATGACCTTGTATCCACGCGTACTTTGAACATTTCAAACGACAAAGAAAAAATAATGTACAATATGTTTGACAATGTTGTCCATCATCGAAATTCTCAATCTTGGACAAACGCTTATACATATTAATGAAATAGTGTCGGCGACAAAATGGATTTATTGATAGTAAGAAAGACATGAAATATACATTGAAATGAATTAGATACAATTTAGTCATTAATTCATAGAATAAGAAGTAATGACGAAGCCAGAAGGTGATTGGCTGGATGGGTCTCAGATCTATTCAGAAACTTTGAAGCTTCCTTTAAAAATGAGACGATACTCTTTACAGGCAAACAGAATACATGCTTTTTAGCTTCCAACAGAGGCTCGGTTCTGCCCTAGAAAATCTCTTTCGGGCTCCACTACTAATAAGAAGATCAATTTTGGAAAAGATTATATTTCTATAGTTGATTTCATTATTTCAAATATATGAACTCGTTTGGAATGGATACATTAAAGATTAACTCAAATTGAATGAATTAAAATCGAGTCTATTTTACGCACAATCGCGTTCACTCCATGTTCAATGTTGCTATTATTATTACGTTTTGGGTATGCAGGAGGCAAATGATTGATCTTTCACTAATACTCGTTCTCCATTTTGTGCACTGCATGTATAAGCAGTCTAATTGTGATCGGTTTGTCACCTTCGAAGAATAGAGCAAAAAAAAAACGAAATTGATTATTAGTAGACAGACTGTATCAACAGAAAAATAAATAGATAAAACAAGTCACCTGCTGAGTTTGTATATTCTCTGATCAACTATTTGCGTCAAAATTAAGAAGACAAGTTTAGTTAGTTTGATCCCGTTTCATCGACACTATTTATTCATCAATAGTTTTTGAAGAAAAATAAATATAACTTTGTTGTAGAATTTTCCTAGTCTTATTAAAATAAGCACTTAATGGCAAAAAAAGCCATTTCGATATTGTTTGATTAAATCAAAAATTTATTGATTCCAAAAAATAAATTTTTTATTTCGTGGAGGCTTGTTTATATTGTTATCAAAGTGTTTCATTGTAGTCATGTTGAACGAATAATCTTTCTTTAATTCATCAATCACTACATATTAGTTTTGATTGGAAGTGATAATATTTGCATCATATCGGTGGTAGTAATCGTCCAATCTGGACGTGTGCGTAAATGTGGTAGTGGGTTTAAGATTAAAGTTGTTCAGAAAAAAAAAGATTCATGTCAATAAAACGGGATGATACTGTTTAGTTTATTTCGAAAAGATATATTCACATCTAAATCAATATTCTTCTAATCAATCAAAAGAAAAAGAAACTTTGATGATGATGTATTGAGTGTATTTTCTTTCCTAAAAGTAACTTATAGAATTGTTATATTTACACATTATTTTTCAATATCAAAGAATATAAATATCATTCTTAAGATCTATTATGCATGATCTCATTTTTTTGACGATTTATATTCATTTATTTCTATCACCAATTATAGTGCTAAAAAACATAGTTCTAATTGTATAACATTTATATATGGCTGCTCCTTTCACATGTCCACACCCTATTTTTCCAACACTGCCTGAAGCCACTATCATCACCCTGAACGAAAAATTCATGGATCAATAACTTTACCTATGCGGTAAAAAAACACAGAAAAATGTAAGTTGTCATCATGTTGACCACCTACTGAGTTTTGACCTGTTTGAGGTGTTTGGACGCGCACTTGTTCAATTAGAGAGATGTTTCATTTCAACCTTGATGGTAATTAGAGATGGGATGAACACTAACTGTGACGATCAGAGCGTACACGCGCTTATTATAAAATACTCGCTTATTATAAAATCTAGGAAGACAAAGATTAACCGTTTATTTTTTTTCTTGTTTTTTTTACATCATACATCAACTTTGTGTTCTGATGAGCAAAATAAAAAATTCATTTTTTTTTTGCGACTTTTAACACCATATGTCATTCTCGCTTGCTTCTGAAACTCGCCGTCCCGTGTGCATTATGAGGTGTCGATATCAGTCGAACGACCGGTATGTGTGTGTCAAGTCAAATGTCGATAGAAACATACTCCTTTCATCTCTAAACGTTTCACGCGCGCATATATACATAAGAAATTGTGTGAACGAATTTTACGCCTGAGAAAAAAAAAATCTTTGTTTTTTCTGGCGCATTTGAATATATTTTTTCAATAAACGATGCGCAAAGAACAGTATTTCATCAATGAAACATATACAATTGAAATTATTATCGAAGAAGCTTTAACAAATCCACATTTATCATCTGTTATAGCAACTATAGTCATCATTTGGATGTATTTCATATTATCATTTGATAATCATATTGATTTTCTTTTTTATTTATTTCATTCAAATCGTTTTATTTTTTAAAGACACAGAAAATAATCTGTTCTTTATTTTCTTTTTTCTCAATAGAATAATAAATAGATGTTTAGTTTTATGAAATAACTTTAAAATCAATACCATTTGTATGAAGACGATCAAGTGCATGTTCAAGTATATCCATTTCAAGTTTCAGGTTGGTACTAAGATCATGAATAACTTTAACATTATCAAGAATACGTAATGATTGTGTATATGAATCATAGACAAGTTCATATGGACGCTTTAATGATTTAGCATAAATACGTAATTTTTCTTTGGCATCTTCAAATGTTTCAGCCAAGAAATAAATTGGTTGATAATCTTCATCTAAAAGATTAAAAACAACAAAAAACAAGGAAAAAAAATTATTTGATTGAAATAGAACATTTTATTTTTCAAACCTTGATATTCTTGTATAACAGTTGTTTCTGGTTCAAATGATTTGATTTGAGGTTTTGATGATAATGCATGTTGAAGTTCGCCAAATGATGAAAGAAGACCTTTTGAGAAAAAAAAATTATTAAAAAAAAAAAAAAGAACGAACTCATTACAACTAACCTGCGCCATATGCCTTAATCTGTCCATTTTCACGACATAAACCAAATTCAATAGTAAACCAATAGAGTGTTGAAAGTTTCACAATATCATCATCACTTACACCTAACGAAGCTAAACCAATATCTTGCGAAAATCTATACCAAAAAGAAAAAGCTTTATGCAAATGATTTATAATCATATGAAATTCATACTGAGCAAAATTTGGATCCGATAGAAGCGGCACATGACCAAGCAGCTCATGTACAACATCTTAAAAAAAAATGAATAATGAAAAGAAATTATACGAAAGAATATTGTCAAACCTGGTTCAGGTGAATGAAGTGGTGATGATGGATGCCGAATATATTGTGTACATTGAAATACTCGAAATGCTAAACTCGCCAGAAAATCTCGAGCTGAAAGTAGACCTAAAATAAATTTGATTATGATAGTAGAGAAATATAAATTATAATGACCTGCACAAGGACGTAGTTGAAAACCAGATCGTTTTCTCATAAAACGTGATACATCTTCTAATTGTGGAATAGCTTTTTCAGAAAATCCTCCTTCTTTTTCTAATATTTCAAGTACATGAATATGTTGTTTACATGCTGTTGTTGGATAAAGTTTACTTAATTGTCGATAAATAATTCTTGTTAAAGAAAACATAATGATAAAAAAGAAATACACTTTAAATACTATCTATTATTTTACCCCCATGTTTTTATTTCATCTAATGTATATTCAACTCTTGGTATAAGATCACCATGTCGAAAATCAAATGCAATCTGAGCTATATGTTCACGTCGTGCTCGATATGCCTTATCAGAAAAACCAGGATGACGTGAATCCATATCAGGTTGATAATTCGTATGTAAATGATGACATCTATCAATATCCCATATAGACATTGGAAACCAAATAATGTCATTTGTATCATTTTCATCGTTCGTTTCGTTTGATTCTCTATGTAATGGAGATGTATGAGGCTTGATATTTTTTACAATAAATTTCGAATCGGATTGAAATAAATCTCGTTTAAGATCATCCATAAGTTTATCCGTACATAAAACTTCCATAAAAACATCAAGACCTGAAATAACAATAAACATAAAATTTGTATTATTGTTAAAAAATAAAAATTCTATACCCATAGATGATTGTTTGTCAGTAGGTAATATAACAGTTGGACGTGTTTCCATATGTTTTACTTGGAGTCCATCACGGTTAAACGTATTGATTAAATTCAATATTGATGCACTTTTTTTATCCTTAATTGTAACTAATATCGTATAAGTACATTCTTCTTTTACTTGTCCATCATGTTTTATATGTTGATGTTTATGCTGTTCTTCATCATGTTGTTCACGATCAAATTCAGCATCAGCAATTAATGTTCGTTTTCGTGGTTTATATCCATATTCGACAGAATAACTTTTACGAAATGATTGTTTGGACATGCCACCATTCATTGAAAATGCCATCGTCTTCTTGATAGTTTATTTTCTTGATTCAAATATAAAAGATTTCTGTCGTTTGTAAGAGTTAATAGAAGAAAACAGAGTAGCTCAATTTATATAGTCAACGCATTTCAATAAATTACGCCTCCGAGGATCGACAGACGCACGCATTTCCTTTTGAAATGAGAAATCGACAACATGCCGATTTGAATAAAAAAAATGACAAAGAAAGAAAAAGCATTCATCATGAATAATGGATTGGATGATCGTCTTGTTGATTGCTGCGAAACATCAGCAATTGTATTTTTCAAAGACATTAACAAAACTGACAATGATTTGCATTAGATTGCCGTGCAAACAAGTCATATAGCTCGTTCAAGGACAATCTTGGATATTGTCAACTATGACGATTAATGGTATTATTGTTATTTCAGCCCCTTTTTTCCCCATACCGGATGTCTCTCTTTTTCTCCTTTTATTTTTGGTGATCAATTATGAATTGCGTTCGTAGACGACAGACGTTGACAGCCGATTTTAAATGTTTCACGACGTAAAAGCTTTGTTCCTTAAACTGTCAATCAAATTTCTGTTCTCGAATATATTTGCTACTGGAAGATGATCAATGAATAAGTTAAAAAGAATAAAGACAATGATTAAGTTCTACAATTGTTCAAGTTTTATTGTTGTTCTTTCATATTAAATATATATATATATATACACATCATCATAAAGAAAAAGAACAAAACGAAAAACGAAATTATCGAAAGTTGAATTTTAAATAAAAAAAACAAACAAAAAACAAAATAAAATAGATTTAGAAATGTCAATCATCTTCAATAATATCAATCCATCGTGGAAATTGAATCTTATGTATTGGTGTCTCAGCTTTCACTCCTTTAACAATAATATTAGCTGCTTTATTTGTAAATCTATGCACACGTTTAAGATGATCTTTAAGATGTCGTACTTGTTTTATTGTATCACATGGTGAATTAACTACATGAAGTGATGGATAATTAATAAAAGGTTTTGTTATTGGACAAATAACTGTACGTAATTCATCTATATTTAAAATAATCTGATGCTCATTAAATAATTGTGTTGTTATTGGATCTTGGTCCAAATAGATTGCTCGAGCAAGTGTAAGTGATGCTAATGAAGTTAAATGATGAACACGACGAAAATGTTCATGTAACCGATATGTACGTTGACTACCATCAGGTTGTTTTGAACATAAATTTATTCCATGTAAATAACAACTAATACCAAAGACACCATCTTGTATTAATGGACAATAACCACGTATTTTTGATGCACTAATATTTCTCTTTGGCTATAAATGATATTGAAAACAAAAATCTTAATAGAATTAGAATAAAAAAGAAACTTTCTTTTCTGACATACTATATCATAATTTTCATCTCTATAAAATATAAATGATTCAATAAAGAAATATATTATATAGTTATTCGTATTTTACCTAAGTGAACTATCTTCCATTATATTATCAACATTTTCTAATTCAATTGAATTTTCATAGCCATCAGCTAAACAAAAAAGAGAATGGTCTTATTATTAAGATTAATTGAAGAAATTAAGTACATTCATCAGTCTGTTGAAAATAGTCGTTTTCTTGTTCCGCTGGACTAAAAGAAAATAAAGGAAATTATTTTGAGAAAAAGGTAAGAATTTTATTTTTATAACTTACGGCGAATTTTCATTAGTATTTAATACTGAAGAAAAAGACTCGATAGTTTCAGAACCTAAAAGTATGAAAGAAAAACTGAGTACATTTGACAATTCAATGCAAATTTTTCTCTTTTAAATCAAATCTATTTTGTAAGTTTAACTTATAATTCATGCACATATATCATTATTATTTATCATCTCCAGCTATGATCAATGAGGATAAAGAGGATAGAAACAAAACATGAATATTGTTTCTTTTTTTTTCTATATTAAAACACAAATTTGAATTTTATATACATAAAACGTTACTAAATATTTTCTGGTTTTAGAAAGATGCTCTATGAATTGGAAGATAACAAATCGAATACGACAATGATCTTTCATTAAATAGAAATCGGGTATCAGACATTCAGCCCGGGCTTGAAATCAAATCGAAAATCATGAGACCTTGACGTTTCACAAAATATTTTTACTTTTCCAAACTGCTATTTATATAGAAGCAAAGAAGTGAAAACGGTTCGGTTATGATTGAGCAGTTTATTGTACTCGAGAACAGCTCACAGAAGTGGAAAGCAATATTGTTTTGCTAAAGAAATTGTTCTCTGATGAAATTTTCATCTGCAAATGATGATGAACCATATGACGAAGTAAGTGTATAGATGGAAAAGAAAATGAATTATCAAAAAGGTGAATACAAATTATCATGATGGATAAAGTGTTCATGTGTGTATTCACAATTATGGTGTTTGGCATCGACATTGCGTTCTATTTCAGTATCATTCAGCAACAAGCAAATATATACTTAGTGAAATTTTTAGGACTTTAGAACTAGAAGAACACAGAGTGAATCGTGACTAACTAGATTCACTTACTATTTTGTGTACTTTGACATGATCTCTTTTTTTGTTGCTATTTATGGAAGAAACCAAATATTATACTTATTCATATTAAATAAAAGTTTGAAAACTGTACTATAACTGTGACAGTATCTGCCAGATGTCAATTAGCTCTGGTCCTAGTCCATTTAGGTATCAGATACAGCTAACTAGATCTGAATGCAAGAAGTCACATATGTGTAGGACACTAAAGAAACCCGAAGAAGATTCCTGTGTATATGCATTTCTTCTTAAGTTATAGTCATTTCAATAAAATCTCATAATCTCTGTCAGAGATTATCTTTACAATCGACTTTCGATTTCAAACTTTGCGCAAATAAAATTTTTAATGAAATTAATTTATTTTGAAAGTATGAAGTTTTCTAGTATATCCAATCCACTATTATCAAATGTAAACCAGTAAATTTTGTTCTTATATTCTTATCTCATGGCATGAACTAATTACATGAAGAATTTTATTTGTTCAAAGTGTGACATAGAAATTTGAAAGTTGATGCAGAAAATAATCTGAGAGGAATCACAATATTTTGTTGAAAAACTTATTCAAATAACCATAACTGAAGCAGAAAGATTCATACACATGAATTCTTTTAGATTTTCTCTCGCTTCAATATGGTTTACATAATGAGGTAAGACTCATCTTCAAATCGATTCATTACTTGATCTGGTTTTCTCGTTATACATGTATAAAAAAAGTAAGATTAAATTTTTCTTTTTCAGTAGACAGTGTTGAACCGAATAGTTTTTGAAACTTATTTGAGTATTTACTATTGCAAAGCAAGTAATTTTTCATAAAATAAAATGTTGGCAAAGTTTGTACAGCTGTAGATTCAACATTTATCTCAGTTATCAGAATAATTCTTAGTGGGAATCAAATCATGAACTCTTTATCAGAGCTCTCCATAAGATTTCGACAAATGCTGCACGGACAGTCATTTGCAACTCATCAACAATTGATATCATAGAAAAATAGTCGTACTAAAGCCTCGCAATCTTTAGAGTCACTCGCTATATATTCTCCGAAACTTCATCATCACAATTACACGTCAATTTGTTATCCTAAATAAGATTTGCCTGAATTTTTCAGCTCCTGAAACTCACAAATAGAAGTCTATTTGAATGACCTAAAGTGATAGAATAAACATTTCTCTACAAAATGAAGCATCTTCTAGTTCCCGTGTTTTTTCACTGACGAGGAAACCTGTTCTGGTGTCAAATTGCTTTTCGATGGAGACTATGTTCATTTTATGAGTACTAATGAACAATAGAAAAATCTAGAAAAAGTTCATTGTTTGGGCCATCGTTCTTTAGTTATTGAAATTTTACAGGATTCTTTAACAAATTGTGGTTCCCCTCAAGTCATGTGAGAGTTTCGACTTCATATTTCGCACGACAAGTTCTTAATGAGATTAGTGGATTGTGCAACTAAGTATTTCCTTTCTGGAAATGTAAATATGTGAACAAACTTTGCTTTTACATATGACTGGATTTTGAATATTGAATATATTAGTATAGGAGATACTAGAAAAGTTATAACTCACTCAATGAACTAATCTCATTGAGAATTTTGTTCGCCCAAATTTTCAAGTCAAAACTTGAAAGTCGATTTGGCACGTCATCTGTGCAGATCACAGCTTTTTGTTGAAAAACTCAATAAAATATCGGTATCTCTACAACGAAGGCTCGGAAAATAAAACAATTCGAGAATTTTCCACTACATAGTAGTATTCATGCAATGGACACCGTCTCAGTCAAAAAGTGGTATTGGATACCTGGAGAGATCCCTTCGTGAGATACATCAATCTTGCGCAAAGTACGAAAGTCTTTTTTTCTGCTATTTCCTTGGAAGGCCTAATGTTTTTTGTTTGTTCTATCATTCAAGGTAGTGCAAACAGATTTCTAGGAGCTGAAAAACTTAAGTTTTAGTTTTTCACAGACCCTATCCTTGGACAAGTAGCAATCATTATCATCTTGAAAAATTTTCGTTGGAAATAAAATTGAAAATAAACCTGATCGAATAATTTTAGGAGCTACTGTATTTATGATACTTTACCATAATCGAGAGCCACTTCATTTTCTTCTTCATCATTCATAATTGATTCGGTTTTCGGATGAATATCATCTAATTAATAGTTATTGTTTTTTTGTTTTTTTTTTTTGAATAAAATAACTTACGAACACTTGATTTTGATCGATTTTCTTGCTCAATAGCTTTCTGTACTGTTTGAATAGCCATTTCAAGTTTTTGGTTATTTTCCATTGAATCATGAAAATGATTAATTAATAGTAAATGATTAATATCTTTACTTAGTTTTTGATGCTTTTCAAGTTTAATTTTTAATTTTTGAAGCTCTTTTTGAATTTTATCTTCATTAAATATTGAAATATAATTATTCCATAAATGTTCTAACTGTTTTTGAAATTGAATTTGTTTTTCAATATATTTATCATGTTCAGATAAATGTTTAATACATAACATTTTTTTACAATGATATAAACATGGAAATACACGTATTGGTATAGGATGAGATTCTTTCAAACATAATTCATCTTCACATTGACCGGACAGTGCAGACATTTTTTTTGAAAATTCTATCTTAAAAGAAAAAAAATACAAAAAACAATTTCGATTTTTTATTTTTTTCTATAAATTCAAAAAAGAAAAATGTTAATCATTCTGTTATGTTCTACTTTTTCTTTTAGAATAATCCAGCTTCTATAGTGTAAAACATAGACATTTGTTTTTTTCTTAAACTTAAAGAATCACCATCAGTACGTATAATGTCGCATATATATATATAGCATCAAAGAAAGATTAATGTAAGAAAACAAAAGAGAAAAGATTAAAACAATACATATATATAGATGTCATGACGTAACACATTCTCTGTTTTTTCTTTGATGATTTAAAGCTTCTGAATTCGTTGTTCAGGTTATATACAAGTTTACTCGCATTTGATATGGTCATTTCATGACAACGAATTAAATGATAACGTAATGAATATTTAAGTTATGGTTTTACACTTCGACAATAACGTTTACATGATCATTACTTATTGATAATGCGTCATTATAAGTACTAAATGGACATCGTAGATGACATATTTGATCAATAACAGTATCATTTAATTGAAATAAAGTTTTTTGAAAGGAATTTTCATTATTTTGAATTGCTTGACAATATATTTCTACACTTGATGCAGTTAATTTATGAAATTTAATTTAATGAAGATATAATTTTCGACAATATTTTTCACCGTAACATAAACACAGTCCATAATCTCTTAATGTTAAACAAAATGTACCATCGAACCAAAATGGACATTTACCAAATGATTTTCAAACTGATAGATAATTGTTCTAAAACGAGAAAAAAATATGAAAGTTATAACGAAATGTTCTGTATCTTATCAAGATTTCCTTATCCGGAGGGATAACTTAAAACTCTGGAACGGCGAACACCTATTTTTGAGAGCACAGACACATAGTACGTGCTACGATATCCACGAACTCTAGGGAAATCAACCTGGTCGTCGGAGTGGCGCCTTCTCCTTGGGTCTCATGCTGGATTAAAACACTGTTTGGTAGTTTAAAATATTTTCCAATTAGAATGATTTTTAAGGAAAATGATTACCTTTTGATTTTTAATAGTTATATGATCGTCATTTTTACTAGAATAAAAAAAGTCAAGTATTGAATTAAAATTAAAAAAATACTCTGTTTTGAAAAAGATATAAGAAGTTTCTGTAATGTTGTAAAGTTGTGATTCAATAGTGATGATTTAAGTGGACTTTACAGCAGATAGTTAGATTTTCATATATTAGCATACAGAAAAATAGAACTTGCAAAAACTCATATTTTCGGTTAGAAAGTTTATTACTATGAAGTTTTTTAATATTTTTCGAGGAGTTTCTAATTTTCCTATTTTGCTACAAAAAATTCAATATGGACTGTTTAGAGAATTTCATGATGCATCTTTTAGTATGAAATCAAAAGAAAATTATTGAGATTATATATATATTAATTCACATGGAAAATTACCCATTTTTTGTAAACTACTCAATATATTTCTGTTAAGAAAATTAAAAAAATCTCTTTTATCTTTCGACATCAGTTATTAAATTAACATCTAAAGAACCTTTGAATAAAAGGAAAGTAGAAACTCAATAAAAACAAACAATAATACATATTCCTACGAAGTTCATCAATGGTTGAAATTTCATCAATAGGTTCAGTTTTAACCTGTTCTGTAAATGGAGAAGATTCTGTAGGATATTGATTGATTTGTTTTTCTTTTTCAATATTTTGTTTAAGTTTTTCTAGCATAAGTCGATGTTGTTCGATGTTAAGTGAATCATTTTCAAATAGATTTGTTATATTTTGTGTTAATTGTTGACATTTTTTAAATTTGTCTTCAAATTAACAACGAAATTTTGTTTCATCTATTAATGATTAATATGCTGCTTCAAATTGTTTAAGTTCTTTACGAAGCTTATCCAAATATTGTTGATTATAATTAATTAAACGATCATGTTCCAACAAATGTCGAAGACAAACTAATTTTGTACGATGATGAGCACAATCAACAAGATGAACAGCGGTTTCAGTACATGATCGTTCACTACATGGACAAAAGTTTGGCATTATTTATCATCTTTGTTTTTCTTCTTATCAATCGATACCATAAAAGTAATGAATGATAGATATTAAGGGAAAATGAGATTAGTTAAACGTTATAGGAAGAAAGACAAAATTAAAAGACAGAATGAATTAAACAGAGGACAGAGAACTTATATGAACAAACAATTTAAGTTTTTTTTCAAACAAATAAGACACTAATAAAATAAGTTTGTCTTGAGTTTTTTATGTTTAATCTTTGAACGACTGTATATTGATTAGAATTTATTGAAATAAAATATTTGATATAAAAATCTCTAAACTCACAAATAAGTAGATATTGTTGATGCACTTTCGACATACGTGTCCCGTGCATTCGTCTATTGAATTAAGTGCATGTCAACTGTTGTTTTTGAGATCTTCGAGTTTAAGATCGAGAATAGAAAGAGAAAATCCAATAGATTCTGATGTGCATCTAAGTTCTTTTTCTCTGAAAATCAATGTTTCTAAGTAGATTTAAAGATGTTGTGGATGTGGATATTAGTCTTCTCTTCGCTTCCGTTCATGCCTATCGGCATTCAATTAGACGATATTCGTTTGACAAAAAGTTGCGACTGTTAATTAGACATCTGTATGAAATCAATTTTGTTTATTATTGCATTCAGATTCAGTATTAGAAATCTTTTCGGCACATGATGATACATTGTATTGATTTTGATCAGGCTACAATATTCTCTGTAAAATAAATATGATGATCATGAATTAGGAATAATATCCTATAGTTGGTCAATGACAAAAGATTTTTTCAAATTGCATAATATTTCATTGGCTACATGACGATAGAAAAAATTATGAAATAAGTGAGAAATAATATCGACATCTCTGTCATTCATATAATGTTTTTCATTCACGATGCCCATCTATCTACAGTGTATAATATTATTCTCTGCAATCAAGATAATTTTTACCAACGTTGAGGATATCTGAATCTGATCGCATTATTATTATTGATAAAATATTTGTATTTCAAAGTATTGAAATATATTCATTCAAAAGGAAAGATGCAATCGTTCGTAAATTCGTGCTTCTATATTATCTGTGTGTCGGATCACTAAAAACAGGTGTTTGTACGTTCTCTTCACATCCAAAATGTCCTAATATATGAGAACTTGCTACTATATTGTCATCTCGTGATATGCTCACTACATGACCTCGATATATAAACGAACAACTGTTCAATTTTATCAGAAACTATTTCGGTCGAGTTCTTCGCTTTCATCGTTCTCACAAGTTTATCGTGTGAACGAACTCTAAAATTCACTTGATTAACGATTAATTTCATTCGACAAATACCATCAAAAAGTCGTTGCTTGATTTAATAAATTTTATTTTGTGACAGTAATCAATCTATTCTACGCATATCGCCGACGTTAATTACCTTAATACTTAGACGAATAACTAATAATAAAATTGGGTGTGACTATTTGTCAAATACTGAACTAATGTTATTTGTAATCACAATCACGTTTTCTATCGACAAATTTTATAAAATCACCGATCTTGTAGAAACGCTTGACCTTTTCTTTCAACTGATCGTCACTCAGCCAATGCATAGATACGTATACAAATGCTGCAAAGCTTGATAATGAGTGAAATTGTCAAGAAAGTAACTTTGCAAATGAAGGAAAACCAAAGTGACTCGTATTATTCATTTTTCTAGTGTAAACTCAGCAACTTAGATTTATATGATTTATCAGTAAAAAATTCAATACAACAATGCTTTTTATTTAAGTCTTGGTAAGAATACTCAACTATGTTTGTTTCTCAGTTGACAGAAAAGCTCGCTGTGATCGAATGTGAGCCATACTTGTTAGAAATGAATAGATGATCTTCTTAATTGGTTCTTGAATCATCAATCAATTGCAAAATAACTCAAGTTTGCAAGTGTCAATGACTCTCGAAGAACACTTGGTATTCTAGTTGTATTATTACAATACTCTTTATATATATGAAGCTTTTAGAGTTTCGATGATTTGAGCTACGAGTAGTTTCTAGAAGGCTAAAATTATCTCGTATTCGTTGCAAAGAAGTAAATGAATGTTTTCATCGATGAGCAAAAACTTATTTCATCTCTTGTAGACTATGTTTTTACTAATATCTACTGAAGATATATCTCTTTATCTAACGACATACACTGAAACATTAATAAATAGTTATAAGTGGAAAATAAATATGGTGTGTGTAACAAATACGTTCGTTTTGGATTATTTAGATTTAATCACTAACGAAGTAACATTACAAATTGATCTATCTGTTTATTGCACATTTTCTTCAGATAGGACCATACGAGATTTCTCGTTTTTCTTTATGATTATATGTATGCACATCTGTTCTTCTTTTCTTAGTTACCCATGTCAATACGATTGACTAATGATCAATGCGTTAACAGGAAAACCATCCATATCTTGAAATAACGAAATGTTTCGTTTGCAATGTTTATTAAGTTTTGACTCATCATAAAGCGCCATCGTATGAGTATCAAGACGTGACGAAACTCATGTGAAAGGATGTACCAATGCGAGTTCCAATTTTGGACTTAGAATCGAAACCGAAAGTGATCAGAATTGTTCGTTGTGCTATTACTAATTTTGCATATATTTACAGAACACTCTAATCAACACCTGTCTGTTATATCTGAAGTTCTCTTAGAATGATTTGTTACTAGAAGAACTTCTGATATGCTTTCTATGCTTTTTATATTAAAAAAATATTCTTAGTATTTTTTTACATGATGAAAACTCGACGTTAAAACCCATTATGTTTTTATAAATTCCACAGATTACTCAAAAAGTACGTGATGCATTTTTGAATGTTGGTCATCTAAACAAATTATATTTTGTATTCCAGATAGTACAAACAGTTAAGTGAAGTCATTTTACAACAATTTTTATTGAAATAACGTACCATTTTATCTTGCTATTTAAATTTCTATTGCTGTCATAATTTAAAATTTATCGTAGTACTAGAATTCAATTAATAAATAAAAACACGTTGTCTAATAAGATTCTTAGTATGTGTCGTAACTTGAGCTAGTAAACAATCTTTTGATTAAACAAAAAACATATCGCATATTACATAAAACTTATTACAGAATGTATTTTCACAGATAATCAGATTTCAATTATGCTAAATAAGCATAACTTCAAATTATTATTTTTTTATTCACTACGGTGACGTTTTACAATTCGAAAGTTACTATTTATCATTTTAAGTATTCTATCAGGATTTAATGAATGCGCGAAGTGATGGAAGATATTTTTGTTCTTGTCTTTTCATCATCTCTCAGTCGAGTTCTAAGAGCTCATTTTATGCTCCATCAATAGGAAAATTTTCACTTTTTGTCGTGGAAAAAGCTCAAAAGATTGATAGCTACTCAATAGTTGAACTGCGATTTCTAAATTTTTACAGACATCTATCGATTTGTGTAAGCTTGTACTTGTCAATCGTCCAACGCGAAAAGTTAAGCATTTAGCACATATGGAAAGAGACTTTCATGGTCTTTGTTTCTAAAGATTTTTTTAAAGTTTCTGCTGCTATTTTTCAAGAGTAATGACTTGACACTAATATCTAGTATTATTTCTGGATGCATTATGAGAAATCATGTTTTTCAAAACGACAGTTGATCTATGCAACGTTTATTCTCAATTTCTCCAGACTCAGGATTTAATTTTGGACAGAATAGTATGATCGGTAAGATAAAAAGAAAAAGGGGTGAAGTGTCATATTACAAAAGAGTAATGATAATTTTTACCAGGAAGAGGTTCGCCTTCGCTCTGTTTTCAAATTTTTGCATCGAAAAAATCTTCTCCGAAACTTTTTCTAATATTCTGCAATATACATTAAAAGATACCAAATTTTGCGAAAAGTTTTGTGATATATGTATATATATGAAATTTCAACGAAACTTTTATTTAACACTAATCATCAGTTTCTTTTTATCTTTGAACTGTCTCAGTTTCATTATTAAGTAGCTGTCAATGTTTTGAATTTTACTCCGCCAAATAGAAGTTATTTAAAAAATACAATCGATAGTTTTGTAGAGCAACAACTTTCCTATCGGTTTAGTATAACATTAGTGCTTGGAGTCATACGGAAGGTGCTAGCAGGACAAGAACAAAAAAATATGCTATTTTATCTGGTTCGTCTGTTACAACTGATTGTTTACTGGTAAATATTGACATATCAATTCTTTCTAAAAGAATCAACCTTTGATACTCTATATGCTTCAATGCTAAAATCCTTTCAACACATATTTATAGCTGTTGTTACATAAATCTTATAAATCATTGATTATATTTATTGAAATATCCAGAGCACTAATCAGTTATTGTAAACTTTCTTTTTTTTTAAAATTTAGATTGAAAATGAAGAATTTCAACTGATATATATATATATATCTTTTCAATTTTTATACAATATAAACTATACTTAATACCAAATCATGCATAACAAATATTTTATGTTCTCTTTTCTAACAGTAAATAAACCAGTTTAAACTATCATATATCTATAAGCATGAACCACCGAAGAGTAAGTACTCGAGAGAACTCAATGTAGTTAAGGAGATACAATATAGCATGACCCTGCATCAACCAAAAAACATTTTATGTATATATTGTGAATATAATGTTTGATCATCAATCTTGAAAAATAGATGACAGACGATCTTCTTACAGTTTCAGATGCTGCAAATTAATGTGCTATAAGATATACACTCAAAAAGTAAATTAACATTATGTTTCTAATAATAATATACTGATCTTTTATTCTTAGTTTCCCTAGAATGATTAAATAACCATGACTTCAACCGAATATATGACAGTAGGGTCTCACATCTCCAAGCAAGCAATGTTTACATTACAATCTTTTCTTTTTCTTCTTTTCGTAAAGATCATTTTTCTGTTGTTGACATTGTTGTCCAGATGGTTTCCCACCCTGTCATCATTTCTCACATCGAGTACAAATAT